GGATGAAAACCAATGACAGGAGTAATAGCCGGAAATAGCAATGACAACAATCATTATCAGGAACATCAAGAATGTCTTGAGAAACGGTTAACACTGTGGAGAAATGGCGAGATCGAGTCTCTATTACGCGAAGGGAGAATGATCCAACGGCGCTTATCAAAGTCGAACAAGAATGATCCACCACATAAAGCGGGCATTTTTGCAAAGCTGGTCATGGAGGGCCAGATTAATTCGGCCCTGCGATATCTCAGTGAGGATGATAGCGGAGGAGTATTATCGCTGACCAACGATGTTGTGAGGCAACTAAGAGAAAAACATCCTGATGCGCTGGTTCCTCCATGTAGTCGAAGAAAAGACGGTTTGACGCAAGTGGAAAGTACTAGGAAACGAAGGCGGGCTGGTGTTGGTTGACAAACCGATACAAGCGAACCTTGATAAGTCGTCTCGGCGGTCGGCGCTGTGACACAGTGAAATCAAAGCCACGTGGTGTATTCTATTTATCAGGGGAGCCCGCAGTGCATTGATGCGTCCCAAAGGACGGCGGAGTATTTTACTGGTCGTTTCACGATGCGTTAATTAATTATTCAGTGAGAATATCAGCGCAAAGATACCTTCTGTCGACCACGGAAGTTCATCCCATTTACCAGTGGTCTGGGTTGGTTTAATAGGCCATGCATTTCCGAGTTCCCCCGGATCTCTGTATCAAAACGAAGTTAAGTGCACGCTTAGCCTTTGATATCGAAATGATTTTTAATTCTCATTAAAAAAAACAAAAAAAAAACTCATTTTCACGAGAGAGGTTGTGTACTTAGCCTCATTAGAAGAAGAGGATTCAGTTTTGGGACTCGGAAGTGGCCTATTTCTTAACTTTCGAAAGTGAAACTAATTTTAGGACAGCGCATTTCGAGTAAATGCAGTTTTTATTACATTCATGAACAAGAGGCATGTTACATTTTTAATCTATTTGGGTACATCGTATTGTAATGTGCATGTACACATGCGGTCAATCGTACTACATTTGATCCTTTATTAGTTATGCTTTTAATGACTGTTTTGTGGCTTCTTCTGCTACCTTAACAATACGTAGATTTAGCCGGGGCTAAAAGCGAAGCTCTCGTTTATAATTATAGTCTACTCAAACAACACATAAAGTCGTGTAATGCTAAGCGGCGAGGGCGATGGCAACGAAAACGTAGATCTAATTAGCAAGAAAACAACTTTACACTTGCAGCACACTTTTTTGTATATTTCTCTGCCATTGATTTGCACGACTACAGCGTGAAACTTCCAGAAACGTCCTGGTTGCACGTTTTATGGTAGGACTGAAGTCGTAATTTGTGTTCCTGTTAACTTTTTCTTTTTCGCTTCCGCTTATTTTCACCTTGCAGGCCGCTAGCATTTCTAGATCATTTTTTCACCACCGCTATAAAATATAAAATGTTTGCGTTTCTCTTCCAAAGAAATTGGTCTCCTTTGTTCATTTATCTCTCTCTCCAGCTCTTTCTTTGGTATACACGTTAATGTACACGTTAAAACTTAGTCGAAAGAAAAAAATCGGCTTTTTTGTTGTTGTATTTTTTCTCTATAGTAAAAGTCCTGGTGGCCATGCGATTCACGGCCGAAACGCGTGGGTGCTTGAAATGCAAAATTTCATTCCTTCTTACATGAACGGGTGGACTTAGGTACGGACGATTTTGTCAGAACTAAAATTTCTTGGATTTATAGATAACCAATTGTTATAACCAATTGTTACGGTGGTCCGCTGCGCGCGTTTCGCGTGCTAGAGCGCCATTATTAGCACCATTATTCTTAGAACTATATTTCACTTAAATTCAGACTTATTTATTTATAATAAGACAAATAAGCAAAGTAAAAGCATGCAACGAATCCCTCTATATATACTTCTGACCCTATACTTCCTTGTTTCGCCTCGACAGTTCAAGTGTACCAAGCATAAACATCAGCGCAAGTTGTACCACTATTGTCCTCCCAGCCACACCCTGTAAAGGCTTCACCATATCTTATCTGAAACTCGTACCCAGCAAACACCGGCATTGGGGAGGGAAGAAAGTTAAACATAGCTCAGAAGCGTTGACACCCACATCATCGATGCCATACGAGTAACCTCCACAAGAATATGCAAACTCTTTGTATTCTGCAAGTGGAAGAGCGGTTCCGTTTGGGAAGGTTATAACAGTAGCCAGTGGTGTATTCTCATGTGCGGTACATCCCCAGAACGTTGAGGGAAGAAATGGATCGCAACTCACCGCTCCGCTGTGGTAAACCAGTTTAAATCTGTAGATGAGACCGCTTTGTGTAATGTTGAATGTCCCGTGTGTGTTAATTCGGGCTCCAAAGCAGACTGATTTCTCACCAACTTTTCTCCAGTTGTCACCTGAAAAATTATTGCCTCCTTGTTTAATTACTTATCGAGCAACTAGTCCAAATTTATTTTAAAATTTGACGGCAGTCGATCTTGATTTTAGTTCAAGTTAAAGGCCACAAGCTCCTGATTGGCTGAAGACAATATTCTAATTTCGTTATTTATTGCACTGGTTTCGCAAATTACGCTTATTTAATTTTAATCTATCATTCACTGTCGAGATGAAGTTAACTGCCGAAGGGAATATTACTTAGAAGCAGTTCCACAACCTGTTGTAGTATATAGCGCAGCTCAGTATAAGAAGAACTGGAAAATCCATCTTATCCCATGTCTTGGGTCTTAGTTGGTGTTCTGTTTTGGTTACTTTGCTTATCGAAAAGTTACTCGTGAGATGACAACAGTTACAACAGCGACAACATTGACTAATCATTAAACTTAAGAGCTGAGTGGACGTAACTCATGTGACATTTTCTTTTTTTATAGTGAGAAGTAGTTACCGCGCGCGTCACGTTGCCAACAACAAACCGAAAACATCACTTAAAAATTGAATTCGCACTGTTTCAAACTTCGACGATCTTAACCAGTTTCATTTAATTTGTTAAATGTTGGCGAAAAAGTTGAGAAAAAGGAAAAGAAAATTTTTGCGTTGTGCTCACCTACTTCGTACAGTGGGTGTGTGAAATTAGTAAGTTTCACGTCGCAGCCGTGCAACGACGGCTAAGAAACGTACAAAAAAGAGTGATGCGCGTGCAGAGTTTTTGCTTTGCTGATCTAAATCTATTGTTTTTGTTTTTGTTTTTTTTTCCAGTTATCCTTGCCGTCGCTGGCGTTGTTGCTTTAACTCTCTATTTTTGAGATCTCGAAATTTTGCTACCATGGTAACGTGACGTCACACTTCTCCTTACTATTAAGCAAGAAAATCTTTTCTTTCGCTCCATGTAAGGTTATCCACGGACAGACTTGGGTTATGGATTCCACTATGTGGATTCCGATTCTAGATGCTGGATTCCGGATTCTCCGTCATTGGAACTTGCATTCCGGATTCCAAAGCCCCCACAGCCCTTGATTCCGGATTCCGCATGCGCAAGCAAAATTGCGCCGAACTTCGAATCCGGATAACCTTAGTTACATGGAATATTTTCTTATTTTACCTTGTTCACAATAATTTCCGTAGAACCCTTCAAGGCAGTCGCACACAAAGCTGTTTTCCTTGTACAGTGACATACATTTCCCGCCATTTTTACATGGAGAACTTTCACAAGGACTCTGTATGGAAGGTAATGAATGTCAGTGACGTAATAGTACACAAACAGTTGAAAACAGGATTCATAAACTGACATTGGCATCATATAATACAGCTCCGTCTAAACAATGGGAATACGATAGCATTCCTCACATGGCATACGTTATGCTTGTAGTATATGATGTATGACATCATCATATTTGAAAGCTTTCGATTTCATCCAAACACACACAAAAGAAAAGTCAGCGTTTCAAAAATCTTCACTCTGGAGAGAGTGTTTGAAAATATACGTTTTCGGTGACCATTTATACCGGAGGAAAAAAATCGCCTTTTTCAAAACAAACACGGATACGTGTGGACGTGGCCTTAGTGTGAGTTTTAGTGTTTATAAACATAACGAAAACGCAAAAAAGAATAAATAAATAGATAAATAGATAAAAAATAAATAAAAAAATAGATAACAATTATATTGTTGTATCTTTGCGTCGGGCTTTCACTTCTTTCTATCGTGTACTATCGAGGATTAGCATTTGCTGATGACAAAAATCCAAAGATTGTTATACAAACTGCAGCTGTATGGTCTTTTATTTTGTAGGTTTTCGCTGAGTCACGGCTTTTATGAAGATGAATAATAAGTTTTGATAGGTCAGTGTTAACCTGATTACATCATCTCTTCCCATCGCTTCTGTATACCTATATATTTTCTTTTAAAAAACAATAATTTGACTTGTCTTTATACACATGTTCGTTGTTCACATCTTTAACAAAAAAAAAAAGGAAGAGTATGTATCAAGTGGTTGAATGGAAAAAGTAGCCTTGGATTGGTCTTTCACGGTTCTCGCCGTATTGTTATATATCAGTGAAGTTTTATGACGAAGGTGATGACTGTTAAAGATGTATATACTCCAAAATGCTCCAAAACTATAATCACTTTCTCCCTTTCTTGTCTTCTACTTTTTTTATAACTTGGCCAACAAATGCAACAACGCAAATACATTATTGATTTAAGTAAAAACAAGAAAAGCAATCAGCAAATATCGTAACCAAAGTGAAACATGATATTTGTTCGGCGCTCTGCACTGAAAGTGAGAAACGTATAATATTTTACGCACAAATCTACTATGAGGGTCTGAATGGTGTTTACTGTTACGTGCTTTTCAATGCCCATATCTTAGGTGTTTAAAAATTTTATTGTGGCGCAAAATCTGTACTAATATAAGAAACTACAGTAGCTCACGTAAAAGCCAAATTTGAGTCAAGTAATTGAGTTGATTGCTTAATGTTAATAATTTGGTCTTATCGATATTTTTTGAAGAAATTGTTTTTATTTTAAAGGATACAGGAGCGATAACGAAATTAAAAATTTAGTACTAGTCAATTAAAACTTACCACAATAGCAAAATGATGGAATTCCTGACTCTGTAAAAATTGACTGGAATCGTTGTACTTGTCTGAGGCCAGTAGGTGACATGCATAGCTATAGAAATTCGCAGATGGCAAAATGGCGATGTTGAATGAGAAACACGCCGCTTTACCGATGCACTTAAATGCACAATCGAAAAAATCTTGAACTTCAAAAGAAGCCAAAACTCTGGAGGTATTCAAAGTGTAGTTCGAAAACGCCTTGAAGTTGCCATAATGAATGTGTTCATCTTCTTCTCTTTCTACCTGATTTGAAATAAGCAACATATGTTTTCCAACGAAGAGTTTTCGAAAAATGAGGGAAAAGAAAAAAAGAAAAAAAAATGACACTAGAGGATACAATTTCTGACCTGGTGTTGCTTGCTCAAATTCAAAAAAGCAGCAAAGGAAAAAGTAATGATGACTGCTGCTACCTTCACCCGCATTGTGTCTTTTTCAGGCACTCTTTGTCTTTGTTCAAATGCTTTCTATGTGTGTACACATGCTTCATTCCTCGGGGGTAAATTAAGGCTCAGTGGAAAAAAAGCAGGCAATGAGCCAATAAAATAAGTCCCTCAGGTCAAACGCAAAAGTTTGTTGACATAATGAAACAGAATGTGACCTATTTTAAGAAAAAAAAAAGTCAGCCATATAAACTCCTCGATAAAATACTTCATTGCAGTCTCCAATTTCTCACTCATTAACCAAACACTGGCGTAGGTGACAGTTTTTTTTTTTGACAATGATTGCCGCCATATATACAGAACAATTTGCGTACTGTTCCAGAAGGAGAAGTTAATTGTAATAAGAGGATGATACACTTATGAAAATCATTTGTTGTCGATCTGTTTCACTGCTTGTTTTTGATTGCATTTTCAATTCAAAAAAAGTTTGCAGAAGTTCTTAGCGGTTAGATTAAGCAAACTAAGTTTGACAAGGCGAACGGTTAAAACACCTGTCCAGCAGCCAGGTAGTAATTGAAAGAAATATTGCGAATTTTTATTCAGGGTGTAGTGCACATTTTGAATTATCATGTAAATACATGTAGTGGTTCACTTGGCTCGCTGCCGTTTGTATATTAATTGCCTGTGTTGTCTAGTTAAAATTCAATTTTGGCAAAATTGTTGTATGAAGTATGAATAGAAGAATTTTAATTCACCTGCTACTGAAATATCCCATCGTGCAGAATGCGTGGACATCATTAGCTAAGGTGGATTTCCACCGTCGAGAAATTTTTACGAGCGTACGTACGCACATAAATTTAACGCGCGTACCCTGGGTATTGTTCTTCATGACATGGTAATAAGGCATGGGGAATCGCTCTGGCCTGGTACAAGACCGGTCAAAAGAACAAACGGACAGGATCAGCCCCGACTTACTCGATTGGTGGGAGGGTAGTTCGCCGGCCACGTCGCTTTTGCAGCCTCGAATAGTGTGATGGGGTGAAACATGTGTAACTTCTTTTATCGTCTTATTTGCATAATCCCCAGGGTGTTACTTTCAAATGCTAATCGAGTTTGCAGTATATGAAAGGTCGCACGTTGAGGTAAAAGTTAAAGCCCACTTGACTTTTAAGTTTAAGCGCGGCCTTTTTTAAATAACCCCTAATTATTTACGCACTTAAAAAGTTACGTGACGGTGGCAATCCACCTTACAGGGTCGTAACATGGTATATCCGGGACCCATTGATCCCTATTTTCTTGCCGTTATTTTGATCCCTGAGCCCCATTTTCCCCAAAATTTTGATCCCTGAGCCCTGATAAAAGAATTGATCCTATCCATGTTTTTACACAAAATTCTAACTTAGGCAACTTTGTTTATCTCCAAATATAGAATATAGAACATGCTCAAATGGGCTTATGAGAGAAAACGTTAACTTTAATTTTTAGTGCAAGTTGTAGGTTCTATCAGAGCTTTCTATTCTGCTATCCCTTTTGATGTTGATGTGAATTTTCTCTTTCACTCTGTGTGTGTTACAGTGAGGATCACGATCAATTACCAATAGCAAAATACCTACTTTACATGAAGTAGAAAAATTGAATGATGCAAGCCACAGGCTCTACAGTTTAACAGCATATCTATGTCAAGCCCATTAATGGCTTTTCCTGACTTAATAACCATTGTAGATTGTCAGAGGACATATCTGGTGGTAGGTCTTCCAGACCTACTCCTTCCAGCTTCCAATCTAATTGGCTCTGAAAAGTTGTCCGCCTGAGCTTGCTCCCCTTCCTCTTCGCCACCACCTTGCACTTTCCCAATGATACACTTAAGTTGACGGTGCCCAGTCTGGTATACAAGGGGATCTTCTTCTGACTGTTCCAGCCATCTCAAACCCATGTGATCTTCCACGAATGCGTCACCGTTATGGTGGAGATCTTTTAAAAGAACTGCAAGGAAGAAAGAATAATACACCTCTTGTAATTGTGCTTGAGAGCAACTACGTCGCCTTTTGAATAGATAATCTCATATTCTTCGGCTGCGTCTTGAACTGTAGTTTGTCCTTCACTCCCTTGAACCTCACTTTCAGCAGATCGACTTTTCCATGTGCCGACGTATTCCTTCTGAACATACTCAGAGCAAGTGGAAGTGTACCAGCTCTTTCTTTGGTCTTCCCTCTCGTTCGTTGCTGTCGCACACCTCGTCCGAATTCTTTCGCAAAGCCCTGAAATGCCTTCCTTTGTCGCTCCTTTCCCTCCGCGCTCGTTTCCTCGTCCACATCCTCCTGAAGGTTCACTCTTGCCGTGCGACTTTCGAAGCCATTCCGGTGCCTTTGGACACAGCTTTGTCTGTGTGTAAAGGCTTTGACGACCGGTATAAAATATAAACGAGGATTGGTGGAGCCTCTCTATTGATTCTAAAAGGCAGCTGGGCCGCCACGATGCGTAGTCGTTCAGAGCGGGTGTTCTCACTCCACTAAAAAATTCAGGCTCCAAATCTAACGTGCTGATACCTTTCGGGGCCAACCATTACATAAGCCGAGGCCGAATAGCCCAAAGGGACGAAAAAATTCTTGTAGATCAATATTGTCACTAAAGTCTGCAAATTTTGTGCAAAACAAAATAGCTACTGCACGAATGAGGTCTGAAAAAATCTTGCGTGACAAAAATAACCCATCCCCGGCTCAAAAATCAAATAGTGGGCCCCTTACTGGTGGCGTTTCATGCTTAGTGCTATAATATATTAAATTCCTGCAGACTCTGCTACTTATATCTAGTATGGAGTATGCAACATTCCTTTCACCAATTCAACCGTTTCTATTATAAAAAAATAAAATAAATAAAATAAATAAAATAAACTATAAAGGTTTTGTTACTTTTATTTCACCGAGGTAAGTCTTTGGTGTTCCACTTATTTTCACTAATTCTACACTGTAATTTCAGACTATTTATCATACAACAAGCATTTATTAGTTATACAGTAATGGAATGTGTCCTTTACTTTCTCGGCCCAATACTAGTACAGGCTGGTAGGTGAACCGATCTCGGTTTCTCATCAGAGTTCGAGATAACCCTAAGACTCCATGCAATTAGACCAGATTTATTAAATTTGCGAGAAAGCATTTATTTTGCAACAAAGCGAGGGAATTCATTGTACTTTTGTATTCTACTTTTGACGTCCATTCTCATTATTTATAAGTACTTTTAAGAGTTAAGTTACTGGTCAAAAAATACGAACCTCGATTCATAGTCGCCTTGTGACTTGCTTGAGGCGATGAGGCAATCGGGACCTATACAGTAAATTCCGCTTTCAATGAATCGGTTTGTCCATTGTCCTGGCGGTGTATTGTTATGTTTGTTCGGCCCAAAAACTCTATGCTTGGACCCTTGCCAGGAGTAAATCAGTCAAGGAAGTACTTACGTACCTTTCTCTGTCACAGGATTTCTTTTTGTTCTTTTTCTTCTTCCCCATTTCTCGCAAAAAAAGATATGTATAAATCGCTTTCTCTGCCTTCTGGCGTTGACAGCGCGTTGAGGAGTCGCGTTACAAAGCAAGAAAAGTGACTTGAGATTCATATTACGGTGCCCTCAACAATCAATAAACTAAGAATATGATACCATGTTTTCGTCAAATAACCAGGACTTCGTATGACAGGAACTGCCGCCAGCCAGAAGCAAGAATAGGTATTAAATGTACCTCGGCCAGGAAATTCTATGGACACAAACCTTATTAAGCGGAAAAATATTGTGATAACAGATTTTTAGACTGTGTAAAAAATCTGATACCTGATTAGCTCTGATTCGGGCTCAAAAGCCTTGTGATCCCTGATCCCATTCTTCTGAGCCCTGAGCCCTTTCCTCTGAGCCCTGATCCCAGTTATATTTTGGGCTTTGAGCCCTGAGCCCATATACCATGTTACGACCCTGACCTTAAGATCTTAGAACCCTCGACAAAATAATGCCGGTTAGTAGCGTTAGGAATATTCACCAGGCCTTTTCGTAGCTTGGTCGATCTTATCAAGAAATGGCCTATTCTACTGACCTAAATATTTGCCCATCAAAACTTAAATAATTGGCCTTTTGTTGCAGATTACATAACCTTAGAAGACCGAGCCGAAACTTGCTTGAATAATCGTATACCTTCGGGAAAACAAACTTGCGCGCCAAGGAGAATTTGGAGTGCTAATAGCCCTGTTTACCGATACGGCGGCCATGTTGAATTCATTCGATTTAAGGAGTATTATAGGATGTCCAGGGGTTATGAGCACATTTCGTTTGTATTTTCGAGCGCTTTTCCGAACATTTTTTCTTAGAAGAAGATTGTAATGGGAAAAAAGATCCTTGTGCCGTGTTTTGATGTAATAATGATCGCCTTTTCCCGAGAAATATACAGTGAAAGACCATATTTCTAATACTAAACTAGAAAAAGGCGATCATTATTACATCCAAACACGGCACAAGGATCTTTTTTCCCATTACAATCTTATTCTAAGAAAACTTAAAAAAAAAAAAAATGTCCCGAAAAGCGCTCGAAAATACAAACGAAATGTGCTCATGCCACCTGGGCATCCTATAATACTCCTTAAATCGAACTAATTCGATATGGCCTCCGTATCGATAAAAAGGTCTATTGGTCGGCAAAAAATATTTCACTAGGGCTGTGACGGGAAAAATTGCACTTGAAAGTATGTCGAAGCACATGTATCATTCAGGAGCTAAAGAGAGCTATTCTACTTGAAGTAGCTTTTTCTTAAGCAGACTACATCTACGAATTGCTAGTTAAGTGTTAGTTCCTTCATTGCGTTAAATTCATTTATCATCATGCTTTTTAAAGATTGATTTGTTGATTTCTTTCCAAAAACTTGGCCAAATTCAGCGCGTGCATGTTAGGGCTTACGCAGCAAGCTCGCGTAATTTTTTACTTTATCAGTCACTTTCGGTGTGTCGAGCCTTGTTTAACTTCGCGGGTAAAGAAGACTGAACTTCAGAGAATTACTTGAAATTGGTCAGTGATAGATGTTATCTTTTTCCAGTTTGTAACTTTGCAAATGCACTTGTCACGGAGAATATTTGGATTATGTGGTTGATTTCCAGTGTCGCGTAAGTTTTCCGTGCGCGTGCGAACGCCCGTAAAATTTATGTGCGTAAATCAAATAGAGGCAATGTGTGACAGCCGCGAGTGAACGTAAAAGTTCAGCCAGGTTCAACTTTTACGTTTACGCGTGACCTTCCATATATTTTGCCACCATTTTACACACGATAATGAAAATCCACCGTTAATTACAGTAGCCTAAGAAACGAGCCCAGAAATTCCATACTGATGACATGTCACAACCCACATCTGGCCATGGGCGGTATTTCCAAGTTAGCCTAAAAAGGTTCTTATTGCAACGGAAGTTAGGCTCTTAGGGTTCTTGAATATGTTCCTATTTTCTAAAGAAAAAATATATATATATATGCGATAGGTGAGCAGGCTGCACTGCAGGCTATTTAAATGTAGCCTGAGAAAGCAGTCGACATTTCGAGACGCCGCCACTGGTTTCCCCGCGAAATGACGTCTGAGAAACGAGGATAGAAATTCTATACTGATTACGTGCACTCCCCAGATCTGGGTAGAGCTTCTGATTGGTTGAAAATTTGCTTCATCTTTTCTTAAGTACAATAAAACCTCCCGGATGAGAACCTTTATTTTAAGAACCCGTTAGGCTAAAATTTGCCAGTTAAGCCTCCTCTATATATAAGACCTTGTTACGCCTAACAATTTGAAATAGGTTATTATTTTCTAAAGTCTATGAAAAAATTCTGTACATTTGGGTAAATAAGATAAGGCAACATTCAGAATCCCCTTTTGAGAGATAGGTGCCTTATCACTTTACAGCAATGTAAATGCCAATGTTTTTAATCAGATAAAAGTGTCATCAATACATTACAATAAATGTATGTTCTAAAGTATAACTTCAAAATTCTTTAGGTCTGCTTTTAATTTAGTTCTTCTTTTTATGGTCATTTTTACATAACTTCAAATTAATGGCATACAGATTTTATCTGAGGAATAAGCTGAACCACTAAATACTCTTAGCTATGTTGTATATAAACAAGATTTAAAATGTCTGCGCGCAGGCTACATTTAAAGGGACTGAACTAATCCTGCCGCGGTACATAACAACCGAGCCAGTCCAGCCGGTTAGCAACTGTGGAATCTGTGTATCGTGATGCCATGATCTTTTCTTACCGCGCTGGAAAGTTTCCAGAACCTAGAAATATCTGCCAAAATTTACAACTTTTTCAAAAATCATAAAAACATAAAGGAAACACACTACACGACAAACCTTTTTCCCACATCTACTCAGAACAACTGGAAGATTGGAATAAACGAAAAACATTTGTGGGGTGAGTTACGCCCTTGTATGTATGTATGCATTTCTGGAGCCAAATATAAATAATCGACTACTTTGAATTTGTCTAGATGGCTGGAAATGAATAGACAGAGTAAAATTCCACGCATACCACAAATTGTCCACAAGGAGTATTTAAGTCGAGATTGCCAAACAATTCAAGTTAGGGATCGGAAACTCGATGTTCGACGCATGGCAGTTGCTTGTCTGCGTCACAGATGTAATTTAATCCCCCTTAGTAACGTCTGCAAAGTAGCGCCGAACTCCTTGTTCTTAGCCCCCAAGGTTCCCTTCAAACTGATTGGCAAATCGACAATGACTTTCTAACCAGGCCAATCATGGCGCGTAATCAAACACTGGTAAGGTGGGAACCCAAGGATTTCGACGATGTTTCACAGGCGGACTTAATCAGAGTTTAGTTTGGCATGTGGCGCAGCCATGGTAGTTGCATTAGCTCAAAAAACCAGTTACATGAAAATCACAAACAGCCGGTAACCATTTAAAATTTTGGATTTGCTTTATCAGAACTAAAATACAATATAGCAAAAAAGCTGATTTTTCCTGTGAATAGGATAAACGACTTTGATCGTTCATGCGAACCCTGCTTTTGCACTAGTACGCATGAACGAGCTGACAATAAAACTAAATAAAAGAAGAATCCCTTCTCTTGATTCGTTTCTTAAATTTAACCCCTCCTGAATATCTTCGTCCGGGATTAGACACCTCAAGACTCTCTTGAATCTACAAATGAAGAAAAATTAACACTAATTATATATCATCAAATTTATCAGTTTGTTCCTTCATGCCCTTTCTTTTTTGTATTCTTATTACGAGAAATGATTTATTAGAGGCTCTGGGTTAGATTTCAAACATAGCTAGGGCCAATTTAGTGTAGCTATGGTTTTCATGCACTAAAACAGTGGTTATTTTTGTAAAATACACTTGTAAACGTTTTGTTAAATTGATCCTTACTTAATGATTTGAACTGTCATCCGAGAGATGGAGATTTCATTTTATTCAACGGATTAAACCTCGGACGCACGTACACGCAAATTCATACCCCCCGCCGCCGCCGTGGTACCTTCAGTGCAAAGCTTTTGATCCTCTCAACAAGATGAGGTATATATTATGTGGCGCCGCTAAAGGCCTGTGACGTCACCAAATTTGGTCGTCATCTTGGATTTTACCAAGACTAAAAACATCAGGTAGAAATCGCGAGAACTGGTAATTTTCTGTGCTTGAAATGTAAAATAACACATAAATAAGTACTTTGCATCATTTTTCACAAGTTCTGCTTTTATCTTTGAAAAATATGAAAAAACATACATTTTTACTCAAAAATGTCTTGACCACCTGCTACTTATGACGTTATAACTCGAACTTATAGTAACTGACCGCACCAAACTTGTCTCAAAACAAAAGAAACGTCAGGTGCTGATGTTTTCTCATGTGGGGGGTACTCCCCCTTGTACGTCCGAGGGTTAACTGAAAGCTGAGAAATGACTGGAAATCTAACTACATGGTAACTGTGTTCATTTCGAAGACCCTTGAGAATATTCCTCTAGTGCTATAAACATACTAGTTATCCAATAGAAATCGGGAAGGTAAGACCAAGGCCAAACGTCGAATTTTTCTTGAACGAACCAACCTTAGTGAGTGAGGTTCATGAAAGGCTCGACGTCGGGCTCATGCAGTAAAATTCGTCCGAAAGAGTTTGGATTGCTTAACATGTTCAACCCGTCTGCTTCAGGCGGATAAAATGTCTGAAGATCGTCTCCAGGACAAACGTCGATCTTCACATGCCACAAAGAAAACTAATGAAGTAATAGTTTGTATCATAATGTATATTTCATCTCGTTGGGGAAAAATTATTACTGACCTGAGTTTGGTTTGACGCGTCCTATGTTCCGAGTCTGACCCAACAGACGATATTAACTTAATTTAGGTCGACCCAAGTAATTATAGTTTGGTTCGTTTGGCCTAAGACTGTCTTGGTTCATTATATTGTTTTGAATGGTCATCTTGGTATTTTTATTCGAGTTAGTGATACCTGTTTATAACTGTAATCTGAAATTGTCACGTGAACAAAGATGGAAGCCTGCTGATCCCCTTCCAAATGAACATGCCTATAACCTTTTGATAAATAAATGGAAAAAAAATAACTAATAAACAACTAACAGAGAGTAATCATTGGACATCAACGCGCTCTTTGGATCGTTTTTATGGAATCATGATGCAACACTAAAGTATGAGACCAAGGGTCTGTTATACAAACATGCGCATGAAAGTGTTGTTGAGGCCTCAAATGTAATTAATGACCCTAAATGTAATAAAGGTCCTAAATGTAATATCTTTTGGCCCTAAGTGTAATAAAGGTCCTAAATGTAATAACTTTTGGCCCTAAATGTAATAAAGGTCCTAAATGTAACAACTTTTGGCCCTAAATGTAATAAAGGTCCTAAGTGTAATTCTTTCAGCTCTTATTATGCTTAGGGTCATAAGAAGATTTCACTGTGTTTGCTTTCAGCCTTATTACAGGTTAATTGAGCGCAAGAATGTATCTAGGGAATATCAAACACTAAATACCCCAGGCAGATCCCCTATATAGCTATTTGAGTAACAACTTATTATTACTGATTCGTGTGGTGAAATCCGGGAAAAAAAAAGTTAGCATAAAAGTTCACTTCAAGAAGTACTCGTGGTAGAAATTAAAATCAAAGTCAGGAAGTCAGAAAAACTATATCAAGATATACTGCCCTTAATATCTTGCTGTTTATATATAACTTCGTGTTCACAGCATTCTGTATGGACCGACCGACATACTCTTTTTGGAAAATGATAAAAAATAAATAAATAAATAAACCATTTCTTATTTTGGCGCAACATTAAGCAGATAATTTATTACGATTGTTCTAATGAACATTAATAATTCCTTCAATTACTAAATTACTACTGTATTTTGAAAACTTTTGTGTAGATTCCATTTGTTTATAACTCGCGTTTTACAATGCAGGGATGTAGTAGGGAAACACGATCGAGACGTAGTTAATTTATAAGTGTTTCTCCTACTTCTTGAGCGCTCTAGCCGCTCTCTAAGTTTATGAATATCTATGAAGACTACAATAGGGCGAAGAAAGTGAATCGCCAGCTGGGTATAAAATTAATATCGCATCAGACCGTGGCATGTTTCAGTCAGGGACTTTATCAAGTTTGGGGCTGTTATACTACATACACGCAGTATACTGTTAAGACTTCCATTACATTTAGGGCTAAAACCTGTTACACATATAATATTATGAGACCCTTTATTACATTTAGGGCCAAAAGTTATTACATTTAGGACCTTTATTACATTTAGGGCCAAAAGTTATTACATTTAGGGTCCTTTATTACATTTGAGGCCTCAACAGTGGCTCCCACCTTCTTTTTAACCTCTTAGTGAAATCAGATAAGTGATCGTCTGGTTGAGCTAAGATATTAATGTTCAAACAAGTCACTTGTTAAAGATGATGATAGTATTATTAGGATTAATTTGCACATTTTACCTGGCATCAGACTTGAAAAAGGATAAGTAACTTGACCAATAAAGTCTCTTCCTATAGGATCCTCGTCCCAAACCACAAACCGAACAATTGCCAGTTCCGGAAAAGTCAAAATAAAGCTGATGGTGTCCTCCCAAACTGGATTAAATCCTGCAAAGTACGCAAACATTACTTACAGGTAGGCCAAGGCCAAATGTCGAACTTTTCATGAGGCAAACGAATTAAATTGTAATTTGGGTAAATCTAAATTAAGTTAAGTTCGTCTGTCCTGACAGAAGTTGAACTAATGAAGTGTCGAACCAATCAGACTGATCATCATCTTAGGAGATGGATTTAAACGTTTTACTTTTCATGAACTGCAAGTGCTCTATCCCCATAGTTTGATTCTTCTATTCATGAAATGTTTGGCGTCTTTTAAAAAGTTGCATGGGGCAGGAACCATTTTTCTCATTTTTCAGTTAGTTTTCCACGCACTTGCCGCAAAGGTAGACCATCACATGGAACTCACCGCATCAAAGAAAAGTGCCCTTTATCGTGAAAAAATGTTCCTAAATCATACAATTTGTCTAAACAAAACCTGAAGTGCGAAAACGTTTTGACAATAATGAAGGCATTAAGTTAAGTTCTTCGCTTTGGGTAAACTGGCTCCTGTCATGAACAATTCCGATGAACATGAGGCAATTAATCGCTTTTTTAATTTTATCAGCTGATTCAGTATGTATCGAAAATCTTTAACTACTGCATACCATTGTCCATGACTGTTTTAGTGCGGTGTTTGCAACTGTCAGCAGGGATCCCTATCAACTCTACTTCCACGTATGGATCAATAATCTGCAATAAGAGGCGACGAAAAATCGTATATTTCATTTTAATTTGGGGCCTAATGTCAGCTCCTTTCATAATTGTTTTTATTACTAAATAACCACTTCATTGAACTAAGAATAACCAATGACTGACGCTGATATGAGCTGTGCTGAATTCTATTTAAGAAAATAGTTACGATATAAACACTTTCATAATTATTCAAAAAACGTTAACCACCAGCACCATCACCACTACCACCACTACCACCACTACCACCAACAACAGCTAAAACAATTCTATTTCACACATTTTGCAAGGGTCATTATCTTGACAACGATAAACCATAATATGTAAGGTAAGGAGTAACACAAAGTCAAATATATATGTAATCATTTTAATTTGAGCGTGATTTGCATTTGATTAATAATTACCTCTCCGCGGTCTCCCAATATGCTATCTTTCGGCTTCGGTAACTGTTGACCACTTATGACCTGAGAGAAATAAAGGTGAAGTTGACAGAATCCTCGAACGCACTGAGCCAATTCATGTAACTCCCCAAACGTAGTAAAAGCATGAATGGTGCGTTGCCCCTACCCCTTTTTTCGTTGTATTTATTTCTTATTTAGTTACTGCTACTTTAAGCAAAGTTGTAATACTTTGCAAAGATTAAACTTGTTATGGGTAGCTTAAAAGCTGACATCTGAGATCTACATAAAATTCAGATTTAGGCAAACATATAGTACTCCATGCCATAGGGAATACAGCCAATCAGAAAGCTAGAAACCCGTTGCATATTCTGCGGTATTCAGAATCGATTTTTTTTTCTTAAAAATGGTTCCCTATTAACAGTCCTGGTCAGCAGTCGGCAAGCAAGATGGACGCCTTTTAAGCTGTCTGTCCAAATTCCATGATTTTTTTCGCCTTTTCTGTCATAGTTTGTCTTCTTCGTTGTTTTGTAATATTTTGATATAATGGCTGTGTACGTTACACTTGAGGAGCTTGATAAGTTATTTCCATCGAAAACTGAACCCAATTTAGAGCTCGTTGAACTTCAATGGCGCTGAGTGTAGTTAACTGTTGAGACGAGTGGACAAACTCAAGAACAACCTCGTTCCCAGGTTCTCGACTGGTAAGAGAGAACGCTGGGAACGAGGTTGACTCGAGAAGACCGTGAAAGCTGTTGAGCTGTACGACTTTTACTCAAATGATTTGCATAGCATCAGTTTTAATAACTTTTTTAATACCATTAAAAAAGTTCATCAATATGAAACCGAACTGGCCTCTAAGAAGTCTTACTATTTTACCTAACGCTAGGACCAACTATGGGAAAACCGTTTCAGCAGTGCTAAAACTTTAAAAATCTGTTCCCGACCTGAAGAAATCAAAGAGTCGTTCTTGTGTCAAAAGCTCTTAAGAGAATCTATTATCTCTAATTATTAATTGTTTCTTTGATGTACTTTATTTACAGCCGATTATGTACTCAGCCCTTGCTTAGCTTTTTTTTGTTTTTTCTTTATCTGTGTACGTGTGTATTTCTTTAGTTAATGCATATGTAAATATTTTTCGCCCCATAACCAGCAACTTGGCGCTACTAACATTTGCTATTTATATGTGACTTTGCTCTCTATCTTGCTAGTTGTAAACATGTCATTTACTTCTCATTTTTTTCCGGGGTGCTAAAAAAGATTTATTGATTGTTGTTGTTATAACTGCGAGAAAGGTTTGCCTTAGGCCCTGTTGATATGAAGAAAATGTTTGGCGAACCGTTTAAAGTTGGCTCAGGTAGAAAGGGAACCTGCCTAGCCCGATCTCCCTTTTGTGATGGTAGGGCCACCTTTCTAGCCGAGATAACTTTTCTCCTTATGAACACTTTGGGATTGGCCAACCAGACCCCTTCAGTTCGGTCTAGGTGAGACAATCAATGCATGCGTGAGCACTGTTTAGGTAACTAGGCGTTAATTTGCCTGAGAAATAGAATAAACATTAGAGAAAAGATTCTGTCTAGGAAAATCCTTAGAAAAAGATGTCAGATGTAAATGAAGACCGACGTAAGCTTTGTCTGGACTATAACCTTTATTTTGCAAAGCTTCCTTTGAATTCCTCTGATCTCCTTTCTTGTCATCGGATCGAAGATTGATTCTCCTAAGTAAGAGCAAGATATTAAACATTTTAATAGAAGAAAATAAATAATAATGATAATGATAATGGAAATGATAATTCACCAATTCGCAAAAACAAAAAGATGACAAGACAAAATTGCATTCAGTAGAAGAAAAAAATCAATCAATCAATCAGTCATATAGTCTATTAGTCAATTCATCAATAAATAAACAAACAATAAAGATAACAGGTTGGCTTTTTATGTACTGATTTAAAAAACCATCGAGCAGGAGTGTATTATCAAGTTTAAAAACTCGAGGTAAAGCCCAGAGTTTTTACAACTGATAATACATGACTGCCAGTTTTTTTTGAACGGCCTCAAGATGTCTGATGTAGATGGGCGTAGATCAATTGGTTCCTGCACTTACATTTAGATTTGGACGTAAAGTTTAGCCGTGTCTTTATCATATATAAAGACACTTATTAAACATGAATTTCTATTGTTTTTTTTCTTCATGAATTATTAACAAAAACTTAAAAATGAATTTTTGCAGAAAAGTAACATGACGATTAATTTGACAACTTCAAGTAGAAAGTTAACATGGTACTTCTTCTTCTCAATCTTGCACCGAGTGCTATATGCACGATTAAGTGAATTTAGTAAGCGCGTGCCACCTTTGGGTAATTATATACATTACAGTCGCACGTTCTTTTCGAGAGTTCTTTTAAATGGAAAAGGAAAAAAAGATCTTCTGTTGGTAAGTATCTTGGGATTAGGTTTAGCGCTTCTTCTTTGCTCAAGATAGAAAAAATATATATATACAATTAACTAAATTAACATACACTAATGAAATAAATAAGTAAATAAACAAGTTAATTAAAAAAATAAGTATTTAAGTAAATTATTTTTTATTATGCTTGTCTGTTCAATGTGTCCTTTTAATTGTTATCATGAATATTGTGCTAGCAGTTTCTTGTGACTGGCAGAAGAAACGTAAGGTTCGATTATTTCTACCTGCGTTGGCTGCCGAGCCTTAAAGAAGAGAAAAGAAGACATTTCACACAAAAAGTGTTCTTAACTTTACAACAACATTAGTTTAATCTGCTTTAATAGGCCATTCCCAAGTTCGAAAAACTCAAACTTTAACTTTAGAATGAATAAACAAATCATTTTCATATCAATGTTTTCGAACTTAGCCTTTTTTGAAATAGAGGCTTGGGGCGACTCAGAAATGGCCTTTTTATTTAAAAGCTTTAATACACAGTCTATAATTCACCTTCACACATTACACCCGGCTTTAAAACATAACCGCAGTTTCCATTTGATTTGAACCTTCCTTTGTATATTTGCATCATTCGTCCATCCGTTTGGTAATTTAGCGCCACTGGAACGAAGGAAACCAGCTGGGTGAATCAAAGAGCTTTGGCTAAAACACCGCAAATATCATAATATCACATAGCGTTATATTCCTAGACTTTCACTCAACTAAACAGGGACTGCCATTGGTTGATTCTTGGTCACGTGGCCTTGACTTAAATCAAATGTATCCCGATCGTGATACATTAAGCAATGTACCCCGCTCGGGCTATATTACAGCACGTGATCAAAGCATGGTGGAAAGTGGCGTGACAGAAGGCGGAGAAAACACTGCGAGGTCCTGTCAGTTTTCTTTTTCGCGTATGAATTCAACAACACAAATACGAAGCCTCAAGCTAAAAAGCAACGACATTTAAAGTTATCCCAGAAGTTCCCAGACGAAAAACAGCAGCTAGTGGAGTAAAATGATGCAGATAACATAAGGAAAGTACTTTTGTAAATCATTCATTCAATGGTTTTGAGAATTAAATTTGTGCTGTTATAAGTACTGAGTCGACTGTTTTGGTTCGCTCCGGTTATTCTTTTGTTGCTGTGGAAGTGAAAGTCTAAAAATTTAACAAAACACTTCGTCTTGAGAAACGGCAAAACACGCGTGATTAGATTACGAGTCATAGAAGTGATCTAAGTGCGTTCTGTGCTTTCCATACATTCTTAGTTGAAGTACAAACGAATGCTGGCTATATACATGCGACGCTTACGTAATAACAACCTGGAGATTAGGATTGCGGGCAAAAAGAGGAGCCTGCAATAAAGCATACGCATTTTTTAAAAAAGTCATTGGAATTAGTATACAAATAAGAAAACACAAATACCACCTTAAGTGGACGTCAAAATCAATTCTCACTCTCGATAGGTAGTTAAATCGGGACAATTTGAAGTCTCTTTTATTCAATTAAAGGCTTTCTAGGAGGCAATTTGGCACCACCGGCATTATTCAATAGAATGCAGGCTTTGCTTGGACGGCATGTGAAAGGATAATTTGGCGCGAAACGGTTCCAGAAAAAAAAAAAAAAGAAGAAAGATAGCTCTGATTAGCTCAAATCGGAAAAGAAATAATTGTTTCGAATGTGAGCAGCCATTTGTTGGGGTGGAACGTTGCGTGACGAGACAAAAACGGCTGCGAGGGAGACTATCTAATCCGAGCTCTTACCAAGTTGACAGCCACAGTTCCAAAACGTCACTGGGTTTGGGTTGCTTGAGTCGATTCGGTACCCCGCTGGGTATATTCGACAAAGCTTACACATCGTGTATCTCACAAATTCTTCACCCTTGGTGTCAGTATATCTGTATGCCTTAGATTCAGGTACAGAAATAACTTCCCAGATTGTTTCTGTAAAAATAGAAATCATTGCCTGTTACCAGATGCAATACATTGCGAATTGGATTTTGCGCAAAATATATTAATGTAATCTATTGGTGTTGTGGACGCGTGAAATCACCAAATGACGTAATTCAAACGACTGAGAAAGTGCTGACCAATGCCCACACCACAAACATTGGTTTCTGCAACGGACAAGAAACGCTAAAGCGTTTTCCATCGTCTGAGAATTCCCTGTTTGGCGCTTCTGTAATTTATCCATTACAGGAGGGCTAGTCTAAGCTAATTTTGCGTTTCAATCTATAAAAAATTACTCACATAGAAATAATTGTCCTATATAAGTACAGCATACCGTATTCATTAAGATCAAGTCCCTTGAAAGCACATGACCTCGTATAGGCAACAAGATCAGAAAGTTGTCTGCTGAGCTTAATGGTTCTTCTTGCAATTTGCTAAAACGAGTATAAATCATATTATCAGAGTCACTACCAAATATACACACTGTAGCTTTAGAGGGCTTTTACATGATGTCACATTCGCCATATTGATGAACCAAAGTAATTAAACGGCAGCCATGATGGTGTTCTAACTAATCCTCTGCTGGAGGTTGAACCTTTCTCTTACGAAAAAGCAAAATTTTGTTCAAATAAATTTGCATAGCTGCCCACCACGTGAGTGAAAACGCTCTTGTGGTAGTTCTGGCAAGTTAACAGAAGAGGATACGTAAAACTAAAGTGATTTCAATTGACAAAATTTCCAACTAAAGTTTTCGAGGCAACTGATAATCACTACCATCAATAAAGCGATTTTCATGGATTCATGGATTCCTGTGCTGATATTAGTATCATGTCCTCCGCTAAATATATTCACTGTTACTGTCACAACATAAACTAAATATGCTAACCATTCAATATAGAAAGTCCAGAAACTGGAAAATGAAAAAAGATAAATAAACAAAAGCATCGTCATGCGGGATCACGTTTTACCCAAATCTATAAAGCTTTTTATGGGGGCGCATGATTAATTGTTTATGAAGATCTCTGTTATTCTATTTTATCCATCATGTGAATGTTACTAACCTCGTTATTCAAGGTTGTTTTCTTTGTACTTCGCTTCGTGATATGCTGTTTTATATAATTGGATGCAATTCAGAAACGAAATATTATTTATATATGAATTTAAATTGCATGTATTAAATTTATGTGCCTCAAAGTATTACTGAAATTAATTTGTATACACACAGCCCATTGACTCAATTTGAAATAGCTATCTAGATATTTAAACGTTCCAAGGGCACCTAACTGTAATTATTGCCGTGACGTAATACTTTCCACTCAGGATTTAAAGAGAAAATAATTCTAAGGAGAATAAAAACAAACAAATAAACAGCTAAAAAGAGGCCACAGATTTCCTACCTTGTCTGCATCGTCGAAACTTTTCACCTTTCGCGAACTTTCTAATTCTGTACCCTGTCGACTCGAGTGCTTTGCTGAGAGTGATCTCTGTAGCTAAACAAGATAAACATTGTTGATCAATGTCCATAAAAGCAAAAAAAGAAAAAAAACGAAACATGGGAATTTAAGAGTGAGACGGAATAATAGCCAGCAAGGAATATAGAATGACAAAGCCATCCACATCATTATCATCATTACCCAATATTTATTTTCCTATGCTTTACATAAAATTACTATCAGTGTTTCGACTTGTACGACTATCAATATATCTAACAGCATAGAGATCGTGGCACCTAAATAAACATTATTTTTGGAATAATTTTCACCTGCAGCTTGCAACTTTTGCCTGGTATCACTCACCCGCGGAGCAGCCTTTGGACCAACAGAACCTTCTGCTGCTTCTGATTGCTCCATTGCCGCAGATGTCACAATTGCTGAACTCAGGTCTCCGCGAGCATCGCTTTCTTCCTCGTCTTTGTTTAACCGAAGGCGCTGCAACGATGCCAAAGTCCGGCGCCATCTGCGTTCCTTTGCTTTTTGGTCAACTGTATTCTAAAATAACATACACTGTACGTGTTAACCCACGAGGTAGGTTCGCCGATATTTTCTTATGTATGTACTTTTGGATAAGGTAATAATCAGGGTAGTGCCTTCTGATTCACCGCCGTATTTAATGGTGATATGACAAATCTACATGGGCACGTCGACGCCTTCAAATTACCATTTCTCGCGGTTTTAACCTGATTTCCAGTTCTTTGTAAAATCACAGATGGCGGCTAAGATGGCGACCATTGTTGGTGACGTCACAGGCTTCCCGCAGTGCCACCACCCATAAAACATAGCTCATCTTGTTAAGAAGATCAAAGGCTTTCCACTAAAGGTAAAATCGTTTCAAAAATACTGCAGCATATCAAAAACTCCAGGGAGGAGTTCCATCCACCCCTCCCCCCTTGTACCACGATGGGGGTATGAATTTGCTTCTACGTCCGAGGGTTAACATTTTAACACCTCCAAACGCCCTTGATTTTTCTCACGATCTCTAAAACAATAAAATCTGAATAGATTCTCTTACCTCACTGTTTTTGAATTTAAAACAATCTTCCATTTCATCTGCAGAATCTTCCTCAGTGACGTCACCCTCATCCAAGTCCTCCTCAAATGTCATTGGTAACTTCTTACCCTAGTAGAAATATGTTTCTTTAGATTGATGCGTATATAGAAAGGGGAGCAAACGGTTTTTGTTTTTCTCTTTCGCCGTCCATACGCGTACGATTCACATTTTTTTCGTTGTTGCTGTTGGCTGATTTACTTTTTATTATTTATTGAAAAAAAAACAACAAACAAAAACAAAAAAAAAAAAACAAAACAAAACAAAAAAGAAAGAAAAGAAATTGCTGTACGTTTTACTACAAATCACGCACCTTTATTAATACTTTTCCCATCAAGCTTTCCGGTGAGGGCAATTCTTCTCCGTCTAAACTCGTTTCGTATATCAACTTGTCTGGCTAATGTCAAGGACCATTATTAAAATCGCGCACGAAGAGCAATGAAGTTGCTATCACTACTAACAGAAATACATAATCTAAGTATTAACTTATGCGTAAATAAAAAATAGAAATATTTGAAAATAAATGAAAATTACTCAATCATTCAACGCAACCGTTCATTATGGAAAACAGTCAGAGCATTTTTTTGCAAACATGGAAAATTATCATTGAAAGAGGATGTAGCACTATAACTAATTCGAAAATCGTTTGTAGGTTCTTTTACTGGAGAATATACTTAAGGGAAGATTGGGTTATTCTGATCTCATTTTTCTTTAGTTAGTAAATTCTCGCTTGCTTCCGCCCACCTTCATCTCAGTTTGTTGTAGTCTTAATGACAAGCTCTTTCGCTGTTTAAGACGTCCCGGATAATTAATCAACGGTATGTAACAGTACTAGGTAATGAGGGGGGCGTAAGGGTTTGCGGTATTGCGGTATTGGGTCATTTTTGGTGCGGTGTTGCGGTAATTTTTATTTCAAAGTACGGTATTGCGGTTTTCAGAGTCCAAGCGGTTTGCGGTAAGTTTACATTTTACGCCGCGGTAGTCGGTGAAAAAATCGTTGTGTCGCGGTGATCTGCTTCTTTTTCATGACAAGAGGATACAAATCCTAAAAGGTCTCCCTGGCTAGCCTGCGTGACCTGTGTGCACAGTCGGGGATTGTATTGCGCAAACAGTGCAGACAAATCGTATGGCTTCTAATTTCAGTTAATACTTGATATGATTAACGACATTAACTTTTTCATCCAATGATACGTAAACATGTCGCATTATTTGTGACTTCATGGACCTTGTGGGAATAGTCAGCTTGGTTAACCTCCTTTATACCAATCTTACCACCACTTTCGTGCCAGTCGCCAAACAACAGAGAGCGATCCAGAGGGTCAACTAAGTGATCAGTCAGATATTCCAGCAAATAGTGAGGTCAGTGCGATCGTTATAAATTGCGTAGTGTCGAAAGATAATCTATAAAGACGGTGTGGTCTAAAAATTACTACTTGTCCTTCTCGTTGTGCATGCAGGAATATAGAATGTACTAGTATTCGTGTTTGCTTACCCTACGTAGCATAGCAGCCCGGGGTCGGTGGTGGGGGGGTACTTCCTGATAAGAGGCTAATGAGGATGTGCCGCTGGATGGGGTCGCATTTTCACGACTGGAGTTACTATAATGGGGTCGCATTTTCAGAGAGTTTTTAGAATGGGGTCGCGCATTTTCTGCTTTTTTGGGGGTAAGACAGTTCTTCATATTTACGGTTAGCAAAGGTACCAGAATGTTTGTATTGTAGATGAAAAGTAAAGTGTTCTTCAGTCAATCTAAAACAAGGTCAATTCATAAAAATAGAAAGTGACGAAGTTGGGATCGCGAAAATTAAATATTTGTTCAAATGACTAAGATGGGGTCTATAATTGGCCACAGAATAGACTGTAATGGGGTAGGGGCTCTGAGAGGCCAGCGGCACATACCAACCAAATATTAACCCAAGTACCCCCCCCCCCCCCCCACCCCGGGCATGGCAGTTTTACATGGTTTTGTCGGCAGCACCACTGTGAGCGGCGAAGCAGCTCCCGCCCCAATCTCCTCGCCCGCGCCCGCCTTATTTCGACTTATTATTTAGCGCGCCTAACCAAAACCGCCATGCTACGCAGGCTAGTGTGTACTTCTGTACTGTGTGCCCTTCGAATCCAAAAGGCAGCCCGGGTCGTCGTTTTGAAACCCTCAACACAGAACCGAGTTAATTGTGAATCTGAAACAACCTCATAAGAGTCAACTGTTTTCCGTCCGTTTATGATCCAGGTCAGTAATATATAAAGTGATACTAGAAAACTCCTGTTGTATCATTTACGTAAACGTATACATGTAATAAACAAAGCTAAACGAGTGCGATGATCTTATGTTTATCGTACGCTTGACATCGACGCACCTTGATTTGGAAACAGTGACATAAAAGTATTATTTCTATTTGAAAGGAGGATTTGTAGTATTGACAACATCAACTTTTTCCCATTTGTAACTGCGGTTTCGGTATTTGGCTAAATTTTGATGCGGTATTGCGGTATTCTCGCGCTACCACGTGCGGTATTGCGGTATTCGTACCCCCCTTACGCCCCCCTCGGTAATGGTTTCTTCTCCATTCCGGAGCACTTATACTGGCTCATTAATACTTAATTACAAAATTAAAGGATATCTTTAAATATTTCCCTCATCAATTTGGCCATGGCTATCTGCTGACCCACGCTGCAATGGTTTTCTAAAGAAATAATGACTGGGTATCTATAAATACAAATACAAATCATTTTAAAACATTGTTGTCAAAAAAGACACTTCTCTTTGAAATGTCAATGATAGGAAAGAGCGAATCTGTACACATGTATATTTTACATAACTTTATTGAAGGGCATTTGTTTTTATAATAGTTTCAATATATATAGCCATAACAAGGTTCTTACTTGTTATTTAAGAAGGCAAAGTCGTTTATATTGAGAATGACATAACGAAACTTGACTTTAGATGTCAATGTGTAACCGTGATACACCACAGGCTCACCATCTTTGCCATCCCAGCAGTCAACTAAAACAATACAAAGTATGTTGCATTAATTAAAGGTTAATTAATTAATTGGTAACTTTAAACATTTTGATTATAATTAAATAATAAGGCAGTGTTGAAAATAGACACCTCGTTGATGGGGCCAGGCCTGGAAAATGAAGAACTCCAGGCACCGAAACTGAACCGCAAACACTGCACTTACACTTAGCAATTACTTATAAAAATGGGCGACCCTTAAGTTATGAAGGAACATGAATTACTGGGAAGAACATTTTGTATGAGGTTTAATGGACGGGCCTGGAATACTCACTCTCAATGCAGCGGCAACCGGTCTGTAAGACTCGTACATACATATCCATACTGGAATTTGATGTCAATTGATCACCGAGTAGGAAGCTGCAAGATAACAAGTTTGAGTAAACATCATTTTCTTAAATACGTGCAATGTGAGCAAATGTGGTGATGGGAAACTGCCCAAATAACCTATACACTTTCTTTATGAGATTTTTCGCCCTAGAAAAGTCACCCCCCCCCCTTTCCACCAATTCCAAAGGAGACATAAACAGGTCTGTGTACCTGGTTAATGAATGATCAGTAAACTTGGTTAGTCAGTATAATCTTACGTATAAATTCCCGATTACATTTAGGTAGAGCCTGCAATGCAGACGGGTGCGCGAATCTTTTTGTTCGCGGAACTTGGAAAAAAGTGGGACGCTTATCCTAAGCGATTGTTATTTTCAATCAAATACACTTTGTTGCAGGCTAAAGAAAGAAGTTCGTCATTCGTAAACCAAATAATTGTCAATTTTTAGAGATTGATAAAGAGGATCAGGCAGTACAGTAAAAATGAATGCATAAAAAAATTCAATAAAGAGTAAACACTTACGTGTTATGCGACGATGCAATGAAATAATGTGATAGCGGTCGTGTCATGTCTTGGTTGACTTTTTTGTGCTCTGGATTACAGATGTCCCCTTCTGGTCCCAGCAGGTAGCTAGAGAACCCTAGTATAAATACAGTGTAACCGTTGATGTTAATAACTCTTGTAAACGTGATCTTTTCTTTTGAATTTCAGTCAAAGAAATATTTTCTTTAAATAATATTTCTTGAAATTCACTATGATAAAACTTCGTGTTCGCCCTACAGATTCTCAGACCTTCCCATATTTAAAAACTACGTTTGTTTCGTATATTGACTCCGGCATTTGGTTTCTACTATTGCCAGCTTGGCTATGCATTTGTACTACGAAATTTACTCATTTCAGACTTAGGATAAAATGTTGAAGATAAAGGGTATTTAACTTTAGTAGTTAATACCGGTATATAATTTCTAACTTTTAAGTAATTTTGTGTTATTAATCTTACATATAGTTATTACTTGTATAAAGCTTTTGAATTACCATCAATGCCGAGGATTCCTACTCTTCTGTTTTCCTCAATTGGTTCATATGTTTGAATGATCTGGCAGCAGAGATCCTCTGTTACGTCAGCCATCTAACTCGAGGGTAACCGAAGTAATTAGAAATTACATTGGATTCGCTTTCGTATGATCTAAAGAATCATCTGGACCGCGAGGAGGGTGTTGTCAGATGGACGCTATCCTCCTATAATATCTGCATATTTTCTCAGATCATACAAAAGCCTATACTAATTAAATATTTTTTTTAGGATGCCAAGGGCATCCCCTATTTATTTCCAGGAGTCGTGTGCATTTCCCCTGGGGCCGCATGAACTGGATAAAATAAGTGCTGTCCCGGCAATGATGGCAAATCCCTTGGGATTTGCTGAAACCAGTTTCCATAAAACTAAAAGAAAGATATGAACGGGACACTATATAAACAGGCTCGTCACTATATGCAAGCGAGACTGTTTACCGATTTTGCCATGATGCATCTGAAATTCTTTCCGTACGTGATCTCATTAAAGAGAGTGTATCTGCGCCGCCAAAATTTGTCCCAACCTCCGGTTCATATTTATGGACAGGTGAGTAAGCCTCCCAAGCTCCCTTTTGTCAAGCCTAATGCACCGGTACACGTGAGAAACTCCTCTTGTGGCGGGTCCGAGGCTGTCACCATGGGAAGTCCACCCAGAGGGCGTAACTGTAGAGAGTCTCACCGACTACAGATAAGTTCGCATGAGGGACCGAGTCATCTGCGGTATATCGGGTTCGTGCATTTGGCGCTATTTAGCCTTGGCCCGAAATCCATCTAGAAGAAGGAAAAATTCGAACCCAAACCAGATACGCCACATGAAATGACAACGATTTCACAACCTAGATCGGTCGTCGCCCGGGTCAACAAGGACCGCGCCCTCCGCTGCGCACCACGACGGAGGTGAGAAGTATGCGACTGGTGTAACAACAAGCAAAGTACTTGCCAGAAATAATATCATTATTGGTACCTGGAACCTGGGAACCTTGGGAATAGCATGCAAATTGGAAGAATAGGCATATGAGACGACCAGGTACCGCTGGAACATCTTAGGTCTCTGCGAGGTACGATGGAAAAACTTTGGCAATATATCTACTCAGGGGGGTCGCAAATTATACTTCAGTGGCAAGGAGGACAAACACGAACAGGGCGTTGGATTTCTTGTTCACAACGGCATCGTGAACACTGTCATGAGCTGCCGTCCACTCTCAAGCAGCCTTATCACCATCCGCCTGAGGACAAGACCATTTACATCACAATTATACAGGCCTACGCCCCTACCTCGGACTATGATGGTGATGCAGTTGAGGACTTCTATGAACATCTTCAAGAAATCTTGGACCATTCCCTTAAGAATGGCACCCTTGTTGTGTTAGGCGATTGGAATGCTAAAGTTGGGGAGGATGCATTAAAAAACTGGAAAGGCACATGTGGGCGCTAGTGCAACCAAAGGACAAACGAGAGAGGCTTTTGCTGGGGAATACACTCGGCAAACACAAAGCATCCAAAAGATGCCCCACAAGGATTAAGTTCGATCGCGAAAAGCTTAAAGACCCTCAAGTTCCAGAGTCCTTCCAAGCAATGATTGGTGGAATGATTGATTGGTGAAGCACTTACCTTGCTCGATGCAGACGACACTAATTAAATTAACACCTTCAATATGGCAATGACTTAAACAGCTAGTGAAATCTCAGGCAAATATGCTTAGACTCATTTGTCAATAATAAAATAAATGTTTTTTTTAACCGCCAGCCGGCAAACTTTAAGCCTCGATTAACACTCGCTTATAGCGTACCTTTTGCTCAGTTTCTAAAAATTGTTGTAGCTCATTGATATTCATATGTTCCTTACTATTGCCATATCTGCAAATGAAATATGATCATATTACAAAGGTTGTAAGTTGACAACCTAGATCTAGTTAATGAACTAAGTGGATGCACTTTCCGAAAAGAAATGAGCGGAGAGCCTGTGATTGAATTAATCAGACTAAGTTAGTGCCCAGTCCCACCAATCACCATGTACAGCCCGCACCTGCAACTCCGGGTTTTTATTACATATAGTAATCGCGAACTTTCGACGTAATAAAAGGAGAAAAAAAAAATATAAATGCATCAGTAGAGGCGTTAAAAATATTACCACTCAGATCATGCCATTTCCATCACGAGTGAGTTAAGCTTGCTTTATTTCATGTTTGTCTGAACTGAGCCTTATTGCACGCGTCGGTTATTTTCTCCCGGAATTAACTCTCCATTTCAGGGGTCTGCAATCTGCACCTGTCTCTTTCATGTTATTCTTGGATAGTAACATAACTTGTGTTTGTTGGGCTTTTAGTCACTATTTCTACAATATAGTATTGCAAAATCTTGTTTTTGAAGTGGCGGTGTCTTAGTTTTGCATAGAAAACGAAGGCATGGTAGCAACTTTATTGCACAAAACTCGTTTCAAACAAGTGGTTAAGAGGGAATCCACCAGGAAATTGAGTAATTTTAATTTTCAGTGGACAAAACCCTTGTACCAGAATAATTTAAAGAATATTGCATTCTTCTTTACATTTTTCAAATGAGAAAGATGTACTTAGTTATCTGTAATAGCACCAAAGAAAATTTCTCATTGTAGTCCGAGAAAATGAATGTCAAAGTTTACAAGAACTGTGAAAACATAGTTAAAAGGCTGAAAATTTCAGGTGTAAGATGTAATTTTGTGAAATTTGACATTCATTTTCTCGGGCTCTCATAAGGAATTTTCTCTGGTGTTATTTCAGATCACTAATTACATCTTTAGCCCTTGAAAAATTTAAAAATGAATACAATATGCTTTAAATTATTCTGGTAAAAAACAAGGTTTTTGTCCCGTGAAAATTATAATTACTCGATTTCCTGATGGATTCCGTCTTAAATTCTGCGCAAGTTTATAAACTCAGCCTAAATTAGCAATAAAATCAATGGTTCTAGTGGCTTGTTGTTACAGTATAGCTACCGCAGGCGTAGCTACTTAATAGCTTCCCCTGTCAAATGTCAGTTGTAACTATCTAGTTACCACGTTTAAGTTAGTTTTGGGTTATGATTGGTAAGTTGGCCACAATGTTAGGATGCTTATCATGAAATGCTTGTGCAAACTCACCAGTTCAGGAAATAGAAAACGTTTACCGAAAAAACTGACTTGTTCTAAGTCATTTAATTTACTTAATGTTGCAGGCATAAAAACAGCAAGAGGATATGGGTGGCATGTATGTAACCTAGCAAAAGAGAACAGTAAAATGTCCTTACTTTAATAGAAGAAGGTACAATTCTCTTCTTGTTGAAATACTCTTGTAAAAAGTGATGAACTCATTGAAATCCAGCAGACCTTCAGAGTCCTGATTGTCCGTATCAGCTTCCTGAAAATATCGGTTAATTCATAGAATATACTACTTAAAGAAATGTAGATTGAAATTATAAGCATAATAGTGGGTCAAACCAAAAAGTAATTCGTCTCCTAGGTTAACATAATTATATATAAAACTATTTCAGTTAGTTGTCAGAATATTTCCGGCTTGTGTTTTCTGTGTAAGACAGATCAGAATGAATTCTAGAAGCCGTAGTGATATAATCATTGCCATGAAATAGTGTATTTTTTATTTTATCGCACTGGAACATTTTGGCCATTGTTCAAACACTGTAGATCATGTCGGATTAGCGGATTTTGCACGTACGTAAAGTTTAGTCTGTACACATGCTGGCTAAAATTGTGTTACAAAGAAGTAAAAACAGCAAGCCCGATTGTACATGGAGTTATCAGATTCTGTATAAATTTCTCATTTCCATGATGTTTTCAAGCTCGGCCTGGCAAACGTAACCAAGAATGAAAACGATAAAGATGCCCAGTGAGCCAACAAACTAACCTTAAAGATATCTCTCAATTTCTTATATGATATTTTTACATTTAGTTTGTGCATCAACGCGAAGACTTCATCGACACTAAGAAGCCCATCTCCACTTTTGTCTGCTGAAAGGAACACTTCTTTCAACCAGCTTAATTTTGTCAAGGAAAACAATTTCAATCAAATCGATCTACTTTATCTCATTAGTGCTCGTTAACTTATTGCCTTACTCTATGTACGGCACATGAACATATGATCACATTATGAATCAATCAATCAATAAATCAATCAATCATTCAATCATGCTCAATCAATAAATACCTAAAAAAATGTCATAGTTGAAGTGATACTCTGATTCGGAGGTTTAAATGGGCTATGTCACAAGAATATTCAGCTGTCCTTGTTATTTTTTTGCTGAACTTATCAAGAGTTCTGAACAACGAAGGTATTAAACAAAATGTATCAGGGAGCATTAGCCATATTATTATTTTTAGTGATTTTTGCAAGCATAGCAATTAAGTAATAAGAAAATTGACCAAAATTTTTCATGTTTTAATTGATGTCCACCTTTGCCATTTGTTCCAAGAAACACTAGGAAATATTAAAATACGACCAAAATAAAAACTGTACTATTATTTTTTAGATACATTAATGCCAAAAAAACATTCAATTTTTTGGTAAGATAGCAAAAAGATTGACATAGCTCCTTAATTAAACAAATGTGAATTAGCTCAAAGTTTGATACCAAACCTTCATGTGTCTATCAAGGATACTGGTCCCTTGCAGTCTGTCGTCGGATTGGTTCATCCTCAGCTGAAATCGTACAATGACAGAAAAGCCTGGTGTTTACATAGTTCTAAATTATGATCGTGTTGGGTGGGTATCTGTCAACTCAAGCATGATAAGGCAAGTAGCTCAGTATTCTTTCAGCTGATGTAGGTTATGCGCGCGCAATTTTAGTGGGCGTGCGCTGTATTTGCTTATTTAATTGACGTTTGTATTTAGTTCGTTATGCAACGCATTGCATTTTCTGGTTACATTGTGGGTGGCTCCTCCTAAAAATATTTTATTTAGTATAGGATTTAATGGAGCCTGAAACCAATTGTGGCATTGCACACATTTCAGGCATCCTACTAATGAATAGCTAGGGCATTATAGATATATATTTTGAGCGAGAACAATCTACTATTTGTGCCCTTGAACTAATTCCGTTTAAAATCTTCAAGTGATCATAGATTTTTAAAACATTACCAGAATCAAATGCAATTTCTGTTTCCCTTCTGACACACGTGCTATGTCTCAATCTCTTATTGCCAAAGTCGACGGCGAGATCTGGCAAGGTAAGTAAATTCATGTTTTTTTTGGGATTGGCTAGCATGTGAGCGAATGACGTGAGCGTTTAATTGTCTCCTGCGCTCGCTATGGCGTGTGGAATTTATTCTTCGCTAAGTATTCAGTTCTGCTGTTGAAATAAATATTTCCACTGAAGAACTAATAAAACTTTTGCAAGGATAATTTTCATGTGAAACCATTTTTCTAGAGTTTCAAAGCAATAGCTATACTTGTAAAATACACTTGTAAAAGTTCTATTAAATTGACCCCAGATCTCGCCTTCGGCTTGGCCAACAAGAGATGTGAGTACGAGATTAAAAACCTTTGCGTACATTTTTTTTTTCTGTATAATAATGGCGTTTTTTTTTAAATTCATATACATGTATTTTTATTTTGTTTTGCTACCGTTGATCTTTTGTTCCGTTTTTATATTTCAATTGTTGCTTTTTTTTGAAAACTTCACTCCAGGAGGGGAGGGGGAAAGGGGTAATTCGAGACAACATGGAGACACGATTGTCCCCCAAATTTCTTTACCTTTGTAGAGTGTTCTCACATTTCCTTAGCCGTGTGCATCTTCCCACTAAGCCCACACTCCACCCCCACCCCACGTTAAAACAAAATACACGTCTTCGAAAGGAAGATATTAGAGGGATATGACTTGATGATGGGGTGATGGTTAGGTTAAGCATCGATTGTGTACATACCTGAAAAAAGGCCTGGTGATGAGGATCATGAAGTAAGAAAATAAGAGATTGAATCAAAGATGAAATTTTCGCAGAAATAAGAAGACAAAGCAGTAAGTGTAATGAAGAAATAGAAATTTAAACGTATTATAGAGAATGATACAGCGAAAATAAGGAGCGGAATTATGTGGTCATTTACAATGGTAAGCTAAGAATTGCGATAAAAATACTCAGATAGATCTACTCTCAATCAGATTTAGGAGAAATGGCGAACGTTGATTAGTCGCTATTTGTGCAAGTTGACTAAATTTCCGATTACTTTTTACCCGATAAACCAAAAATATGGAGTCTAGAGACTGGTCCATCCACAAAGACTACTTTGCACAGTTTTTTCTTTTCATTTCCTACTTTTCGATTCAACTTGCCGTTTGATGTTTAAACGTGATATAGTCTTAATATCATGGGTGACAAATTGGTCCCTAATTTTTTCTCGAAATCTCAGCCTTATGTGTAATTTTACAAAAATGCTATGGAAACGTTCCGTATGTCTGAGTCTCAGTGCCAAGAGGGCGTCAATGTTTAAAGATGTTATGAATGAAGATGTTACGGTATCAGATAGAATAAAAAGGTAAAAAAAAATCACTATTGTGAGCGTAATTTGTCACCCTTGATGTTAATTGGTAATCAAAATGTATATTCGTTAAATTAGGCAATAATTTCACTTGTCTTATTTCCCAAGCTTTCACACATACAGTTGACTCCCGATTACTCGAACCTTTCAGAGAAATCGCAAAAGGATCGAGTTAGCGGGAGTTCAAGTTATCGGGAGTTAGAAATAAGGAAATAAGAAATTGGGATGGGAAATGAATGCAAGTAACATGCACACTATAAAACTTGATAAATACACAGCACTGGACACTGTACTTAAACCACAGGCGGCCCAAACTCACGTTGCGAGGGAAGGGTGTAATGTAATTTACATAACATATGTGACGCGCCGGTGTCGCGTTACAGACGACCGTTGAAAATATAAGAGACTTTGTATGGGAAATATATTACTGAGATTTGCGAAGGCCAAATAACGCTAAAACTTACTTTTTCTTAAATGAAATGAATAAAAGAGTCTTACCTGCAATCTATTCCGCTGCGGTTTGGTGTCTGTTTGTCGTTTTACTATACAAAGTCTCTTATATTTTCAACGGTCGTCTGTAACGCGACACCGGCGCGTCACATATGTTATGTAAATTACATTACACCCTTCCCTCGCAACGTGAGTTTGGGCCGCCTGTGCTTAACTAGACTGACAAAAAAGTAAAGACAAAGAATACATGGTTGTTAAAATAATTTCAGTCGGTTTCCGACTGCAGTACACTTTTTTCGAATTGTCGGGTGCTTAACAGCATGGTTCCTGTTATCGAGAATAAATTTATGTAGAAATGATCTGAAGGGAAACAAATTAAATTACTTCGAGTTAGCGAGAGGTTCGAGTTATCGATGGTAAGATTATAGTAAATATACTGTATGATAGAAATCAAGGGGAAATCAATTTTGGTTCGAGTTAGCGAGTTATCGGGAGTGGACTGTATGTCTAATTCTGTCCTTTTTGTTTTCTTCGAACAACGAATCTTTCAATGGATTCTACTACACTGTTGGATCGTTTAGTGATAAAGGGGTCTACTACTACTCTAACTGCTTATCCTATAGGACGTGTTATCTTTGACCACAGAGCGGAAACGAAGTGCCAATTCTGTATACCCTTCCTCATTGCCTTCTTGCTCTTACTGTTTATCTTTTCTCATCTACCTGTACATTTCCCTCCAAGATGATCTTACCCAAGTCAACACTTCTTTTTAAATGGCCAAAATAGTTCAGCTCTCGTTTAGTCTTAATAAAGGGATCTCACCGTGATAGATTACAAGCTTTTTTTTGGCGAAAGCTAGAGTTGTGGTAAGAAATAAGCTAATTTTTAAAAAAAGGATCAAGATTTGGCCATAAAATGAAGCTTTATGAAATAAAAATAATTATTCTGAAAACGTACTAAATAACATAAGGATAACATAATCTACAGAAAAATGCTGTAGAGGAGTTGTTCAAAAACAAGGTTTTTTTTTCACCTACAACTAGCAAAGACAGTGCATCGTTTCGCTGGCGTCAATCATATCTTAGCGGACCTCTTAGCAAAAAATAGGTTTACTTCAACGGTTTCATGAAGGTAATGGTTTGTGATTAGTGCTTGGTGGATTTCGATCTGTTTTGATTGTTTACAGTGTTTGAAGGTTCGTTGCTTTTGAACTTCAGAGTTTGCGTGTTTTCACGTTTTAGCTCTCAAGGTTTTCTTAACCTTCTTCCTGAAACATGGCAAGTTTAGATGCCCAAGGTGAAATTGTTCCTATTGAGCTTCCAAATCCCGAAGAAACACAAATTTGGGAGGGTGAAAACAGTACGTTTCCGCCAACATTTTATTTTGCAGCTTCTGCTCGTTATGGCCGCCTTTATTTGACAAGCAAGGGCTGGATGCTATGGTAACGGTGTGATTGACGTCGAAGAAAAACCCAAAGTCCTCAAACAGTTTTGACAACGCAGGTCGCGTGTTCTCCAAAACAACTGTGACTGAGAACACGAAAGTGCACGTGAAGGACTGAGTGCAAGTGCCGTTAGCAGGAAAGCTAATAGCCGTTGCGTTTTCTTTACCTGTTTTTTTAAAACTCTTATTTTCAAGGTCGGCGGCCCATGGTACCTGACTTGAATAGATAACTTTCTTTTAAACACTCGACAGCACAACTTGTAAAAAGTAAGTCAAAACAAAAGCAAAGTGGAACGTGTGAAATCTGTAAAAGGTTTACATTTTCCGGAAATACCAGCACGGACAGCGTAAACTGCATGCAGTTTGACTAATGGTCACGAGTCGCCGGTCGCGGGTGCGGGTTGAAATTAAAGTTCGTCAGCTGCAGTTGTCTCAAAATCAGGTTTCCCTCAAGAGAGTTACCGGCGAAAAAAAATTGTTTGATGCAGACAATCCGCGTCAAATGTATGTGGCATGAATAGTTATATATGATAGTGGTTATTTAATTCTTATTCATCAATATTTTATCTATTTTTTTTTTCTGTTGAAGTCTTTAAAACGGTTTGCTGTATCCTCGAAAGGGCGCTTTTCATTTGTCAGAACTGACCGGCCAGGCCATTCCCGTCGTAATGAAAATTTCTCTTTTAATCAGAGCAATCCAGATCAGTCAAATGCTAAATAGCATGCACGAAGGAAACCATTTTTCATCAAAAACTCTTTGAAAAAGTCGATTTCATTTTCAAAATGACCGGTCCGGCCATGGTTCGGCCGGCCAGTTTTGATATTTGGAAAGCGCCCTCATTCACCAGCATATCTGACTTAAGTAGCTCATTACCTAGCTGCATGAGTTGCAGCTTTTACATGAATAAAGAAATAATGTTGAAGCTGCAAGAACAGGATTATACTGTAATTAAGCACTCTTACCGGATTTTTTTGCCAAAATATAGCGTAGCCCAACAATCCAATGAAGACACTCTTTTTCAGTGGAGAACACTAAGTCCAACGTGGAAAAGTCATCGCCGTGAATAATGGAGAAACATCGACTTTCTACATATACTTCAGGACACTGAGTGAAAGCGTCTGTGGCGGATCCTATGCGCAACTCTTTAACAGACGCTATCGAGACTGACAAAAAAAATGACGTGGTGTTAAAAAGCGATTTTGAACATTGTTATTGTTTGTAAAATTAAATAATTAGTCCAAAATGGAAATGGTAGGCTATAGGTATGGCGACAGGTACCTTCGCCAAACTCGTCTCTTTTGGATTCCTTTTCTTTATGACAACTGACCCTTAATGCCTTTTTTTCAAGGATAAACATCTTTACAGCGATTTACAGCAATGTATAAACTATTGTCAGCTGAACGCAGGGATTACATGGAAAAAGTTTTAGGCGATATGCGATTACATGACTAAAAAAGTATTGTCATTAACACTTCAAAGGGAATGTACCTGTCAAATCGAATCTTTACTTCACTGAGTGAATGTGCATAAACATTAGTACGCGAACATATAATGTTAACGTTGATTTACCCTTGCCTCATTTCGGAGAGTTCGTGCATAAGGGACGAACCATTAGAAATAACCTCGGTTGGGGTGACAATTCCCAAGGAAAAAATTACTGCAAGGGAAACTTGTCTGAAAAAAAATCCTGCGAATTGTGATAAGTAAAAAAAAAATTATTGCGGAGGAAGCGTAATACTTAGCATTTAAGGTTATTAAACTATGGGATAAGAGGGGAAAATAAAGGTAACATAAAACAATGCTTAAAGATAAAGAGAACTGAAATTCTTAATTTGTGCTTCAGTACTTTTATTTGAAAACAACTGCTTGATATTTCTTCATACAACAAAACATAAATAGTATATATAATGGCTTGCTTTCTACACAGTCATGACCACAGATATTGCTATCACAAACAATTATACTAATATATAGATTTAGCTAGGGCTAAAAGTGAAGCCCCCAAAAATAAATTTATAATTTAAATCAAACAATAAACTCTCAATCCACAAATCAGGGCACATATGTAACTTTTTAGGGAAAGCTAAATCATCTCCGATCACATTTAAGAGCCATAATGGCTCTTGATCACAGTGGTTTAGGCCTGGAAAACGAATTCTTGGAAAACAAATCAGGCCGAATTTTTTGCGTTCGACAAGTTTACTTAACAAAATCTTGCCAAGAACTCTGGGTGCCTGTAAATGAACATTTCATACTTTTTATACATCACATCTGAGGTGAAACAGTAATATGAGGCGCTGTTTTTATCATACAGACCTCAGACAAGATGCAGTATTTCACAATTTTTTAAGACAAATTGCACTCATTCAATATTCAGAAACGTACGAAGCACGCGTAGGCTTTTAGAAAAACAGTTCAAAAAATTTCCAAAATCACCTATACGGCCAGCCGGTTCTCACATTTGACAAGCGCCAAATTTTCAGTGAACATTAAAAGAGTTACGCTTCAACATCATAAAGAATTTATTGTGTTTATTTTTTTGTTTAATGGTTTTAAAACGATGTGTAATCTTAAAAAGCGTTTGATACGCGGTGAGGGTAAAAGGAGGAATGAGTTTGCGGAATGGCATGTGGCACGGCTTGCGGAATGACATAATTATGCGTAATGTAAAATATGGAAAATGGCGCAAGAAAATAAATTAAGTAATGATCCGGGTGAAGTGGATAGCAATTTCTTTTGTTATGCGGCAACGGTGCTTTCCCCTCATAGGAATGTTCTCATTTTTACACAGAGAATGCATAAACCTACATGAAGGCCGTTTACGCAATAAAATGCATTTACACTCCACTTTGAAAGGGTGTTTTTTGTGTTAAAAGATTTTGACCAATCACAAGAGTTGAAAACAATAGCCAAGAAAAGTTTACAATTTTACATGTTCCCCACATAGGATTTCTTTGTTATTCAAACTGAGTAGGTTTTGTTATATGGAAGATGGTTGGAAAGTAAGGATGAATATATTTATGTACTGCTTTATGAAGTTTTGTTAACTTTTGCTGTTCAAGCCAATCAGAATTAAGAACAGACAATAGAAAAGTTAGCACCTTTTTTGCATTCAAACATGTTCGTTGCCGTTGTTGATATCGTTCTTATCTGGACCGAAAAACATGTGCGCGTCTTTGCCACGTCTTTTTTTGGCGCCAATTTGAGTGAGCAAGTTTTTTGCTGGTCCATGACTGCTGGCTTAAACCAACAAGGCAGAGCAGAAAGTAGCGATAAGCTTTACTGCATTGGTGTCTATGTAATACTTGATTGATACTTAGTATATATTTGTTGCTTTCGACTATACTTTTTCTCTTTCTGCCCACCATTATAATAAAGTCAAATTTCAAAACGCTAGAGGGAAAAGAACGCTTGTTGAACATGAAGTCGGGCTAGCTACAATTCTAGGGATTACTTATTAATACGGTGACCGGATCAGATCATATTTGAGACTAAATGAACGCCCCGAGTCAAACATTAATCTGTAATCCAGAAATCGAGTGAAGTGAAATGCTCTCTGTCTCCTTTCGGCCTTTCCGTGTGTCTTCGCACCTTCCTTGTTTGTGTGAGTGTGTGCGTTTGATCGTGAAAAAATGCTAAAACGGGGAGAAGGGAAAAAAAAAAGAAAAAGAAAAAAAGACACACTCAATTGCCAGGATTCGAACTCGCCCTTCTCCGCCAGCTGTTAGCTTCGCGTGCCGGAAACTCAACCAAGCAGCTAAGGAAACAAAATACAAGATTCGTTTTCATCTCTGAGTATTATGTCACGATCACGTAACCCACCGTCTGAAAAAGAAACAGTTCCCACGCGGTTGCAAATACAAATATAGGTAAAAGGAAACTGTAAAGTTAATCGTGCAAACATCTTTTGAAGAAAAAATTTCAAGTAGAAGGGATTGTGACCTTCCAAAACATCTGTTCTTCATCTTCAATAGCCGACTTTCGTGCTGTAGTATCGGTGCTGCCATGCAGCCCGACTAATATAGGCAAGCAGAATCTTTGTGGCTGTGCGGAAAAGGCTAATCGACAATGAGTCTTCGTGGCTTTTTGATTGTCATCGTATGTCAACATTAAAACAGCGGCGGCGTTTGCAAATTGATTGGCGCCAAAAAAGGACGCACTTTTCAGTTTGATTTATTTCTTTGGGTCATTCTGCATATATTACATTCCACATAATTATATCATTCCGCAAGCCATTCCACATGCCATTCCGCAAACTCATTCCTCCTTTTACCCTCACCGTTTGATACGCGCGGCATTTTGAGTACTCCTGCAAGCGATGTTTTATGAACGACTGAAAACACACGGCAAAGCGATTAAAATTGCAAGAGACTACTAACAATTAATAAAAGAAATGCAATTCGGTGAAACATTAGTACAGAGACAACAATTTCGATTCACGAAGACAAGTATTAAAGTGTCTCTAAAAATCCTGAGTCTTTAAGCTTAAGCTTAAAGCTTTAAAGATGAACTCGAGGCAAGAAAATCGCTCAAGCTTTCCTTCTACAGTCAAAATTATAACTAAATACTCTTCGGAACGTTTTTTCTTTCTATTTGCGGAGAGAAAATATCGACTAAAGGCCTTTTAAAGCTCTGTAAGCGTATATTAAACCTCATACTAGATCAGATCATTGTCTCAGATCTAATACAAACGTGCATTCGACTTCATGAAATACACATACACCGACAGGTTTTCAGATCAACTTATTTCTGCTGTTGGAAGCATATTGCTGTAGACTCTGAATGTTTTGTTTTATCGACTCTTGAAAAATATCACCAAATTTCGCTTAGGGGTCCTTGGTCCACGACCTGTGACCTTGGTTGAATTAATCTTCGCAAAATAAAAAGCGACGGCCTTTGTTTTTGAAGAATGTTTTGAAAATCATCCCTATACATGTCTACAAGTTTTCTTTTTTTAATACCTCGAATACATACAGAGTTTTTGGTAATTATTTTCGACCGCGCTGAAAACCGCTCGTGTGGGAGACTTGAGGAGACTGTTGTCTGAAGTCTATGAAAGAAAAACGGTTTATTTTATACTCACAACATCTTCCGAAAAAAACTTTAGCTTAATTGCATCAAGAAAAGAAAAAAATACATGAAATATTGTGAAAATCACGTTTTCGTGTGAAAACTATAACATTTTTACATGTTTTTCGTGCTGCCTACCTGAGACGCAGACCAAGCACCACATTCGCGGACCAAGGACCATCGAAAACGGTCGCCTTTTTTGGAATTCCAAGCAAAATATTTATGTCTGGAACTTGAAAGTTCAGGATTATCGAGAGGAACGTAAAAGCTATCTTCAGGGAGTATTTCAGCTCGTTACGTGAAGATTCAGGTAAGATATTCAAGTTAATGACTTTCAGACGCGGAACAAGGACCACGGCAGCAAATCAAGTAAGGCCAGAATCGCTCGAGGGACTTTTTAACCCACATCCAGCAAGGTGAAAAAGGAAAACGCTGTCATCCGAAATCGGATTTCCAACTTTGACAAGCGGCACATTTCTCAACCAAAAATTAAATATACAAACCAGCCATGAATAACAGAAGACTGTTGATGGCAGCTGTATTTCATTTTATGCATCCAGTGGAAAAAGACGGTAAAAAAACATCACAAGTTGACAAAAAACTCTGTCGGCTTCAGCTGTCAAAGTAAACAAGTTTCAAGATGTTGTATAAATTTTCTGCTTGAACTCACCTGTCAAATTTTGACCAATCAGGGCATAAAATTGGACGGTCGTAGAGCGTGATCAACGCGTGACTATGGTGAGAAAAGTGAAAAGCCTCTGTCTTCCCTGCTTGTATTTTTAAATGACGGGCTGAATTTTCGCGTCCGAGATCAGTTTGAAATCAAAATGTTAATAGTGCGGGGCCATAGTGACATTAACACAACACTTACTGTCATCATGTCATTATTTTGTTGCCGTTCTATTTGCCTTTATATTTCTCTTTGGCGTTGCCTTTGTCTATTCATTCTAGCTCTGTCTCGTTCTGCTTGCCAGCGTTTTTCATTATAATTTTCTCTCCTTCTTCTCGCCCTGACTCTTTCTACTTGCCGACTTTCTTCGCTAAAATTTTGTTTTCTTCTTCTACTTCTAAATACGCGCTCTCTTTCGCGATCGCCTTCGCTAAAACATGTCATCTACGCGCTAAAATCTCTCTGCTGTTGTTTGTTGACATAATAACTTTCGTAAGTTGTAATAAAAAGTTATAAAGGCTCTGTCGAAAAATATTTTTGCTAGGTTGCTTTTAAATTTCTTTTTCCAAAACCAGTTGCGCGATGTTACGCCATGTGATTTCCCGCAAAAAAATCTCTACTTTCCCCTACCCCAAGAGTCCATGTGGACTGCTTTCCACTACCCGGAAAGTCCACACGGACGGATGTACGCTGACGTCACAACCAAAATTTCTCGGATGGATCGTTTACCAAATTATCTTAGTTATGGTGCTCCGTTCGCGCGCGCAAGGAGCTCCGCTATAAAATCTCTCTCTTCGGATATAAAATGTATTTCTCAACTGTATTTAAAATGTAAATTTTCAACAATAAATAACGGTATAATTTTGTTTTAATATGAAACACTTAAACAACCATCAAAACAACAAAATGTGTTAGATGCATTAAAGTGCCTCTGTTTCTTAATATTTGGAAAATAACAATCTATACTATGACCCAATTGTGTTATGGCAATTCCCAACAATAAATATCTGACAGTGTAATTTTGGTTTTAATATGAAATAGTAACAATTGTCAAAATAACAAAATATTCTGGATTAATTGAAGTGTTACTGGCTCAATTGTGAAGTGGAAATTTCTACCAATAAATGAAAGTATATTATTTTTTGTTTCCGCAACAATAACGACAGACAAAATAACAAAATATGTACCCCATATTCCAAAATGGCAGGTATTCTTTTGTCCTATAATACGATGTTAATTGGCCCTCAAGGTACCGGGGTAATAGTCTTTTTTATTTCTGCAGATGCAATAGAGGCGCCAACGGCGAATTAACATTAATGAAAAAGTAATTTTGCTACTATTGTGGCATAAGCTGTATTACATAAACCGAAGTGCAACTGCTCTTTCTTAAATGATAATAATGATATATGTTGTGATTCCGATTTTGTCACTGGATTAATTTCTATTTTGCTTTTTCATATGGTAATTTATGACAAACTAAGTCAAAACAAGGATAGATATATATAAAACATTTTAGACCAAGGAAAACATTGAACCACTATGCGTTTACAAGATATTTTAGTGATGAGATTCTCTGAAGTCGTGAAGTCAATTTTGACCACCTATACAGTGTAGTTTTAATCACTCTCTTTGTGGCTCTTCTTCAAGCGCTTGTTCTTTTTCCTTGTCGTTTGTGCTCCAAACACATTGCTTCCATGTTTTTCACGATTAGTTACAAAAGAAGAAATGTGTGGGAAAAAAAATCGCGCAAAGCTTCTGCCTCAGAAAAAAAAATCCTGCAGACAGGTGGGCTTAAAAAAAAAAAATAATAATAATAATAACAATAATGCACCGAAAATTTTTCATCCCCCTCCGGCTATTTCTAATGGTCTGTCCCTAAGGATAGTAAAGAACACATCAGATACACATGTATTGACACGGTGACCAATCAAAGCAAGTCTTAAACTGTGGGAGTTTTCCCGTTTTAATAAAAAAATAGGGAAGCGAATTGCAATGAATGATGATGATAAATAATAAGAAACAAGGCCGATGAGAGGTATAACTAATTGAGACTTCAAACTGCGCGTGCAGAAATATAATATTATATTTGGCAAACGGTTACATTTTGTTTCTTTAATTGCGGATAATAAAAGTGATTATTTTTTCGAAACTTAATCAATTATTGATAAAAAATGGCTAGATCGCTATAAACCTTGCGTCCAAACACAATTCTAGAAAGGAGAAACCAATTTAAATTGAGAAACCAGGGCGGATATAAAAACAATCAATGGACTATCAAGCCAAGTCTTTCTTGTTTTTTAAATTATTATTTTTTCTGTCAAAATGAAGTTTGTTCTAACAATCATATATTCAGTTTTCAATTGTTACTGACATGCACAGCTCCACTGGCGACCTGTTACATAAATTATACAGCGTTTATTTCATATAGCAAAAATATAAATTCAGGAAGCGACATCGGTGTAATTTCCGTGGAAATGCACAAACGATGATGTCCTCGAAAGGGAATTGCTTGAAAAAAAATATCGCTGTTGTCGTGTGGTTATATTTTTTGTTTGTTTGATAAGTGAATTTTCAGCATTATAAGCCATGCCTTAATTTACGTAAGTCATGAGTGTGAATGATGTTAACCCCAACATTAAGTAAACAAGGACTTACTTTTAGCTTTGTCACCCTTCTTGGAAGGAGTCCAGCAGATATTTATTGCTTCCTGATCAAGAAAATACTTTCTAGGATACTTCTTGGATGAGCTACGCAGCTTTATTATCTGGGTTCCCTTGTGCATAACATCGATAGACTCTCCAACTGAAATGATATATACATTCAGATAAAATAAATGGATATAAACGGAAGAAAAATGCAATAAAGAGTTGTCAAAATAAATTTTGTATCTTAATCTGCTCTTATGTTTGAAAAAAGTGAAGATTCCCTCTAAAAACAATGTATATTTTAAAGTCATTTAAGGTGATTAGCCGAAAAATAAAATATCTATTTTACCCATCGTACGGGTATACACAGTTTTTAAAATCTTTCTACTCGAATTTGAAGAATGGCTTTATAAAACTAATATATTAGGCAACTACTTTACTGACCGTTTGCAAATTTGTGATTTTCGGCACACTTTGTTGCCCGGCGATGCTTGAATTTCCGCCATCTGTCAATTGAGTTTTTAGCAATCCTCGCCTCATGGCTAAGTATATCGGGACCACGCTTTTCCATAGAGATTTTGTTTTTACAGCTCCATGCTCTTCATGTTTAACAGAACGGAGACCCAGTAGTTGCGCAGCAAGTGTTACGAAAAAGTGACAGTAGTTGCGTGCGATTAGATGCTGAGAGGTATTATACAATATTAATATAGGCTACGGAGACAATTCATCCCATTGGACGAAAGTTGCAAATGAAATCGGCATGAAGTAATAAAGCTACTTTACCTCAAAAAAAGCTATTAACCGCAATTAGTTGAGGTAAAATAATTACATGTTAATTCCAAACATGCTCACAATTATCTCTTAGCTTCATGAAAATGTGGAAGTTGTTTTCCTGGAGAGTTTCAACGAAGATCACAGTTTCGTGGAACGTTTTAATGACCTATGTTTTACTTTTCTGTTATTTTAATTATTTTAATACAAAACCTTCAAAGTTGGCCAGTTTTCAGTTATATTCTTTTCTACCAAGAGAGGATAAAGGTGACAGAGAAGGCATCCCCATACACACCCTATTCCATAGGTAATTCGTCTCGAGTTATTTTTAGAATCGGGATAAAGTTACCTCGCGCTCTGCGTGGATGTTTCGTGGAGGTTTCGCATGACTAAACGCCGTGCAAAACATGTCGGGCGAAAGGCAATGAAAGCGAAAGGAGATCGAGAGCATTCCTGAATATTGAAGCGAAATGAGTCGGCACTCACCTGAGGAAAGGGAATCGCTGGACTCTTTGACAACCCGTGAAATCAGTTTAACTCGAAGTTGTCGTAACCTCAGTGCTTTAATGAAATTAGAAATTTCGCCGCTCTATTGAAACCGGTCGTTTGTATAATAAAGCAAGTAGGACACCAAGTGTTATTTTTGTTGAATAATAAAAGACTAATAAAAGAATAAATATCAAACCGTAAATTATAAATGATCCTGAGAGAAATGATTCAGTGTGTTAAGGATTTCCCTGCTGTACTGTTAGTTCTATACAAGAGAGGAAGGACGATTCTTTTTTAATTTCCGTTTCGCTGTCACAGTTTTAGCAGAAATCTCTCTTTCGTCGTTTTCGTCGACAAAACGAATAGCAGTATCGCGCTCTGCGTCTTCCGCCATTTTTTTCAGCATCAATTCGTGAAGGACGCGTGGCTCTGAGCGTGCGGAACACATTCGCGCAGTGTGACTGTCTGTTGTCTAATCCCCCTCGGGATCTGTGTCGGGATCTGTGGTCTTAAAAATAACTAGAGACGAATTACCTATGGAATAGGGTTTGTATGGGGGTGCCTTCTCTGTCCCCTTTATCCTGTATTGATTCTAGTTCTATGAAATATATACACAAGAAAAATAAATACATTAAAACATAACAATTATTTTGCATAGGAATATATTGCTTTACAAGAAGTATCTCAGTTTTGCTCCTGCCAAAATTCGCAGCAAACTCAAAACACTATCACAATCGGAAATAAGAAGGATGTTTTTTGAAGGGGCAATCTTTTTAAGATCCCACATCATGACAGAATTTTTTTAATCCCCCTCCCCCCTACACCCAGTCTTGCCGAAGAAAGTAAAATATAGGCAATACTGATGAAAAGGTGGAAAGATTAATGTTTAAAATAGAAAAAGAAAAGCAAAAGGTTACCAAATGCTCTCAGATTTTTGTGAAATAAAAATAAAAATATGCAAAGAAGAGAATATCAAGGTACAAGCACTCTAATGCTGCCGATGTGTTTTCAGGCACAGTATACAAAGTTGTTGTTTCATTCACCGCGCGCGCTATAACGGTTGTAGTTTTGTCTCATGCCAAATTTGCGCAAAACGAATTGATCTTTCCAACACTCTCTACTTTGTAAAATAGGGCCTCAAATACTGTTTTAACAGTTCATTCAAAAAAGAAGACAAGTCAGGCCGTGAATCGTAGCAAATCCTGTGCCTCGAAGGTTACAGCAAACCAATCGCAGATATACGAACACATCACGTGATGGGTAACCATAGCTACTGGTGATAAAGAACACTTAAGAGAGGTTGTCAGAGAAAACCGGGCAAAATGTTAAAAATGTCAACGGAAGGGGGTCAACAGAATAAGTTCATACTAACATCACAGATAGGTCTGGTGGAGTATTGGACAAATATAATAAACATAGGTTCGTCACTGCTCTTGTATTAGAGATACGAGCATCACTTGATTCGACCCCCTCGGACGCCATTTTTATAAGCAAATTTTCACCATTTTCTGAAACTCACAGAACCCTCAAAATTTAACGAGCGAAGTTTATTTTTGCATGCGATACAATACATCATAGAACTACTTTCTAAAACCATAAGAATGTTTAAGCAGCCACGAACAAGACTAAACTTTTCTTATTTTATCTGACCTAAACTCAGTGTCTGCAAAGGAGCAAAAAATCGGGCATTTTTGAATTGATCTACAGCGTACAACTAAAACGACAGAACAACTCTGACAGCCAAATTGCAGTCTACTATCATCCATGTAACCAAAACACTAATAATCATTTTGGGCCATTGAAACAGGAAGAAATTAGAAAACTCACATTTGTTATAGTTTCCAAGCTTTTTCTTGCAAACAGGCCGATCCCTTCGTGCTTGTTTTAAGTCCTCTTCGTGAGTTTTCTTCCATATTTCGCTGTAAAGTATGTTCAGCAGCTGGAGGAAATATCAAAAAGCTCGAAATACTGCCTAGGTTACATGATCAAGGGGTAAAAAGTGCTGAACGATAGGATGAAACTAGAAAATAACAAAGCGACGCCATCTTGAAAATTCAGCACTCAGGAGGGACTGGCACTAGTAGCTGCATACGGAGACACATACGGACAAAAATTGCAAATTTTCCACGAGCACATAGAAAACCAAACCTAAAATAGAAATGTAACCAGAAAGCCTCGGATTCATGTTAGAGTTTTCCTTTATCGAACGTGGGCTTTTACGAACTATTACCAGGAGCCTATGGGCTCCTGATTACCAATGAGATAAAAAGCAAAAAACAAACAAACAAGCTTATCAGAGACCTACTCCAGTCTTATTTCTTCTTCAATTACTTCTTTTAGTTGAATTTAGCTTTAGAAGAACGCCTGAGCGCAGGTTAATTGGTGATTAACTGGCATTGCTTCATTCCCTCCCCATTTAGAGGTGTCCCGTGAAGGGCGTATGGAAAAGCCGGAATCCGGAACCGGAAGCGGAGCCGGAACCGGAACCCGAACCTAAGAAATAAAAATTGGAGACGTTTCTGTCTTGAGAGTGTCACTAACAATAATTGCTCGGTCAAGACGTTTCATCCCCATATTATATTTATTTAGTGTTATTATATTTTTTACTGTCGCATTTTTCGCGTACGGAGCAAAATTTTTCTTCGAGAATTTCATATACGCGTGAGCGTCGCAAGTTGGGATCATGATCGTACTCCTCCTCCCTTTGCCGCCCTTCCCTCACAATGGATGAAACACGGAGCGCTTTTAACAGAAGGTACAAGTAAGAAGATAAAAGTTTTCATTCTTTTCCGTTTTACAGAGTTTGAAGAAATGTTACCATTTTGCAAAAACATATCTGTTTTCGTTTACAGATCGCGACAAAGCGACGAATCGATTGAAATGTGAGTACGTGTGAAAATGTGAAGTTGTTGTGCCTTGAATTTATGCTCGAGTCTGCGGCGGAACAGCATGGGCTGATTCTTTGAATTTTAGTGGTTATATGTTCTTTTTTAAATAAAGTCATGTAAATTACAACTGAATATTTTGTTTGTTTGTTTTTTTTTTTCTGGTAAAAGTGTCTAAGCGCGATGTGTAAGCATGTTTGATAAAGTAGAACACATGCGTGTACTAAATAACCAAACGTAAGCTCTTTCGCGCGGTGAGTATATCTTTGGTATCACGATCACTGCGCTGAAAATTTCTCAAAACAATGATAACAGAGGACGCCATCTTGAGTTTTATTTCCACACGCGTATCGGGAACTGGTTTCAGCGCTTCCCAGTTTACCCTGGTCTCAATTTAAGTTCCGGTTCTGGTTCTGGTTCCGGTTCCGGTTCCGGTTCCGTTTCCGGCTCCGGTTCCGGATTCCGGATTCCGGCTTTTCCGTACGCCCGCCCGTGAATGTAGATATAATATTAAAGATCTATTTTGTCTCTTTACGAATCACTTAACCTCGCTCTCATGCGAGCTAGCTGGACTTGCTATATATTAACCTCGCGAGTTTCGAAGCGTTTGGGCTAACTGCGGGAAGTGGATATTGCTTGCTGTAAAATTTGTAATAATTTTTATTACCAACTGTTTGTTAAAATAAACATAGTACATGCAGTTGAATCAGTTTGCGGAACGGGCATTTTAGGCCGCAAAGCGGCCAAGAGAGCTAGCGGACGAGGTACTTTTTTGAAAGTAAGCCTTCTAACTGATGATCTCATCGCTGTCACTTCGTATTTCCATAAGGTAATATACCTTCCAATGTTGACAAGAGCTGTCAAAATAAACCATTCATAGCGTTTACCATAACCTGGTATACCGGAAGGATCCGGAAGGAGCTCAGTTTTGTTAAAAGTACCATTAAAGGAGTTTTTACGACTCTCACTCCGTACCGCTTCCCTCATTGTTTTTCCCACTCACTTCTTTTTCAGAATGCTCTTTGCACGGTCCACACAAGATAAACGCCACGTTTAGAGGGAACGCGCAAATTCTCTTACAGATTGCGGTACTGTTTGCAGCTCAAAAACTTGCACGGTTCCGCGGGTCGCAAGTAAAGAAAAGGCGGATCCGTGCAAGTTTTTGGCCGTTCAAAAATTTGTAAAAGGGGTCCGAGTGTTAACTCGAGTTGGTACCTTTTCCATCATATTCATCATTGATAGAAGTCGCACACCTGGACGTTTACAGCCACTAGGTTCCTTTTAGTTTACTGGTGTAGCTGTGATTTGTGTCACTGGATTTGTCAAAAACATTCTCACTACGTTGTTTAACATAAGCAGTCCTCACATTTAGAGAAATTGTCAAGGTCTTGCCTTAAATTCAGAGGAGGCAATGATGACAGAAATGGAATTTATCATGCATCTCCTAAGGAGGTAATTTCCAACGCCGTTTCGTTTGTTAATCTTTTCTACGGCGCTGTTGCAAAAAATACGCGAGCGAGTCACACGAGATGGCACAAAATGTGCTAAAAGTAGCACATTTGATGGCTATGATATATATTTCAGGGGCAACCAACGACAATTTTCAGAAAATATCTGTTTGGAAGACGATTTGCGATCTAGAAGTTTCGGAACATTTCATTGTAAAATTTCTTGCTTGCCTGCCTCTCCTAGGATTTTCGAACATCTAAAAAATGGTATAATGGCCCATTTTAAACGAATTTTTACCCTTAAAAGGTCACCTAGAATTTTCGGGGGCCTTTTTTCTGGCTGAAATTTTCGAAAAGGTAAGTGTTGATCCCTATAATTTTCGGATCATTAGACTTTCAGCTAGGAAATCCGAACAGATGAAAAATTTCTAGGGGATAAAAATATGCCCATATCTACCGTTTAAATACTAAAATACGATTAACAATGCTATGTTTAAGTGGTTTTTGAACTATCTTCTCGTTGGGTGCCCCTGATATTTCGATGAAGTCAACCCCATCCCTGGAAAAGGTATCCAGTTACGGTCTACGACCCCGATTTAGATAAATATGGCTCCTGGTAGAGTATAAAAACGTAATTTTGTGCTATTTCGCAGCGTAATTAGCGTTGCTAGATAACTCTGTCCGCCATCAGGAGCCCGTAAACCACAATTAAAACCAAAAAATGTATGAGTAAAGACTACACATCAACATTAATATTAATCTTGTAAAAATTCTAGTGTGAGCCATTAAAATTGTTTAATGACCTTCTTCAGACACTCGTGTCAGTCAAGTGTGAATCGAAATCCCTCATTTTGCCTTTTTGTTCAAAAAAAACCTCTGACCTAGCAGCCCAGCTGCATCTTGTGCCCATCATCTGCCCCCGAGGGGTGAGGATCTCGCTCCTTTTTCATAGGAAATTCATAAATTGTCTACTAAAACACTGTGCAATATGGAAGCAAGGCCAATGTAAGCACTAAGAGCTGCTCAGATAAGAGAAATTGCTCAGAAATTATGCAAAAAGTTGCTTGAAACGAAAATAGTTGCTCGAAATACTAGAAGTTGCCAAAAAGTTGCCGAGCAACTTGTGGAAAGCCCTAGGGAGAAGGGGAGGGGGGTCGGAGGCTACTCAATAAAGCTTTGTTCGGAGAGGTTTCGCACCGAGGTCCAGTCCCTTACCCTTATATATACTATTTTTGACAAAAGGTACCCCTTTCGTGTATCTTCCATTGAAAAGTTGTACCCTTTTCATATATATGCTTCGTGAGAATAAATCGGTAAGAAAGGAGGTCTTCGGGCCATTTTCGTGTAACCTTTAACTGAATTAACATGTAAATAATATTGCCATAAGGCGTGTTTCTTCGAAGCATTTAATAAAAGACCCTTTAAAATACTTAATGAAAGATTTTCCTCTCCTTTCACATACTTCAACTTGTGATTTTCCTACCCTTCGTAACACCTGATGCTTGAAAAAGGTACCCTTCGGGCGAAGTCTTCCGGACTATGAAAAGCGCATCATTAAATCATGAACAGGAGATGAGTGGACCTTCGGACATGGACGGTGATTGAAGACTGACGCAAAAATAGATGATACAATAACTCAAAATGAAGTGAATGAAGAGTAAATGAAGACTGAATAAAGTAATGCCAATTGGTCATCTTCACCACAACCTATCACTCCGCCACAAAAACCCGACAACACAAAAAAGCTAAATTTAGCTAAAAGTAGTGATTGAAGCAGAAATAGGACTGTAGTAGGTAACTCATAAGCCAGTTTGCTTGTTTTTGCTTTTTATCTCTTTGGTAGGACAAGGCAGCTACTAGTGCCAGTCCCTCCTGAGTGCTGAATTTTCAAGATGGCGTCGCTTTGTTATTTTCTAGTTTCATCCTGTTGTTCAGTACTTTTTGCCCTTTGAACATGTAACCTAGGCAGTATTTCGAGCTTTTTGATATGTCCTCCAGCTGCTGAACATACTTTACAGCGAAATATGGAAGAAAATTCACGAAGAAGACTTACAACAAGCACGAAGGGATCGGCCTGTTTGCAAGAAAAAGCTTGGAAACTATAACAAATGTGAGTTTTCTAATTTCTTCCTGTTTCAATGGCCCAAAATGATTATTAGTGTTTTGGTTACATGGATGATAGTAGACTGCAATTTGGCTGTCAGAGTTGTTCTGTCGTTTTAGTTGTACGCTGTAGATCAATTCAAAAATGCCCGATTTTTTGCTCCTTTGCAGACACTAAGTTTAGGTCAGATAAAATAAGAACATTTTAGTCTTGTCCGTGGCTGCTTAACAATTCTTATGGTTTTAGAAAGTAGTTCTATGATGTGTTGTATCGCATGCAAAAAATAAACTTCGCTCGTTAAATTTTGAGGGTTCTGTGAGTTTCAGAAAATGGTGAAAATTTGCTTATAAAAATGGCGTCCGAGGGGGTCGAATAGAGTGATACTCGTATCTCTAATACAAGAGCAGTGAAGAACCTATGTTTATTATATTTGTCCATTACTCCACCTAACCTATCTATGATGTTAGTATAAACTTATTCTGTTGACCCCCTTCCGTTGACATTTTTAACATTTTGCCCGGTTTTCTCTGACAACCACTCTTAAGTCCTTGATAAAGAACACTTAAGTCCTTGAGACGCTTGAGATCTAAGAACGGCTTTTAATATCGGCGAAATTTGCGAAGGCCTTCATGAAGGCAGATGGTTTGCTTGTACCATTTTAAGTCTCGAAGAGAATGGCTACAAAGTTACCTTTGAAAACTGGAGTAGTAGGCATGATGCCGTCCTTCATGCCGACTGTATTCGCGCCCGCTATCCATCGATGGCTCATGGTCGTAAGAGAAAGCGTCTGCCGCTAGTTGTAAACTTAAGTAATTTGTTTCCAGAAGATGAATTGTACGTACAGGTGGACGGTACCAGAAAGCTGGCCATCGTGAAGATTATTGACCCGTTCCTGGAACTGCTAACAGTGGCGATCGTCGGCCAAGAGAAAACAATCTCATTCCTAAGTGTCGTTAAGTCTGACGTGTTTGCGACTCCTGTTCCCGCAAAGAAAAAGAAGCAAGTTCCATTCAGTAAGCAGCCAGCTTCTCCAGCTACACCCGCGCTACCATCTGCTTGCATCGCATTGGACTCCACCGTGCCGTGACAGTTCGTCTCTGTTATGCGCCTTGATGGTTTAGAGATAAGTTGCGGTGACCTGGTGACTTTTTCTGCAACCAGCACAGACCTAGCTTTCCTTTTAGTCGAGATCTACCAACATGCCTGCCAGCAGAACCCGCATGAAATGTTGAAAGCCCAGAAGTGCGAGATTTCTGAGAACGCCGTCGTCAAGCTGACTGAAGACTTTAGGGACGGACCATTAGAAAAGTTATGGGGGGGGTGGGGATCTTTCGGGGCGCAGGAATTTTTTTTCGTTATCAAATCAAATTCATTGTATGAATTTTTTTTAGGCCATAGCATGAATATTTTTTAGGATTAATTGGCGTGCAAGAATTTTTTTCATTTAATTTTCCCTTGCCCGAATATTTTTTTTTTTACTTCGTCTGCCCCCCCATAAGTTTTCTAATGGTCCGTCCCTTAACGTGACTTGTCCTGTTGCATGTGCGCACAAGATGAACACCAAGATTTCGTCTTCCCTGGCCAAGGCTGTACAGGAGGTTAAGAAAAGAGCTATTGTGCACTGTGCTGAATCCCTGAACCAGTACGCAGAAGATCGTGGATACCAGCTTTGCGCCAGGCTTTATAAAATAACTCAGATAAAACGCGTGCTCTGATTGGCCGAGAGGCATGTTTGCATGAGAGTATGTAAACATAGTTGTGACGTCAATTTGTTTTGCTTTTCGTGCGCTAATCATGCGAGCACGAATTTGAAAAAGGTTTGAGCTGAACAATTCGTCTTCAAGTTTACTTTATTGACCCATTTCCTCGTCGGCTGAAACTTGGAAAATCTTTAGAAACATGTTGTGTTAATTTTTGTTTTCGCTTGAGCTGACATTTTAAGTGAGAAAAAAAACCCGTATTTTGGAAAGCATCTTTTTTTGGAAACTGAATTAGGACTGATTACGCATACAAGCTTCGTGCACAAGAGTTCGCGACTGGTAAGAATTTCTCTTTTAATCAGTGCTATAAACAAGAGACTTTTTTATCGGGAAAGTTATTTCATAAAAGCAATAGAAAACTTTTTTTTCTGTGTATGCATATCCTAACATAAACACTCCAGGGGCTGGGAGATTTCTCGACCGTTATGCAATCCCCCGACTTCATCTAGGGGTTGCTTGTTTACATCAGGCTATACAAACACGGAAAACGTTTTCTATTGCTTAAATAATACAGCACTGTTAACGAGAACATTGGCATAAACTATTAACATTTGATATACCACAGTATTCAACACTGCTTGAACAAAGATCAACTTCAAAGTTGGCAATATGTACACCTTTAAGCTCATACATATTCTCATTCCTACATTTATGTAGACTCTGAAAATGTTTTACCAATTTATGCATGGATGGTATTTCAAACAATACACATGTACCTTGACTATGGCTGTTACCATACATATCTCTAGCATCGATCAACACAATGAGTTGTAGTTAAGAGCCAAGAGTGTTTCAAGTAGCATACAGCAGTGATAACCCTCAATTCTGGCATCACCATGCATGCTACCAGTATAACTTTCACTGTATTTAAGCTGGAAAAATCGCTCAAACACTGTATGTAACCATTTCTGGCAGTTCTGTTAACATTAGCATAGATTGTCTTGCAAGCAATGACAGACTAGAATATAACTGGTTTCGAACAGTCATTATTTGAATCATATCATCGACTGAAGAAATCCTTCTTATCTTACGGTAAATTAAAGCGCACAAACTCAATGCAACACATTTTTGTCTCGCATCTTCCCCAAATACTACAACGTTTCCTTGACAGTATGGAACATGAATCGTTTTTGTAGCATCTACAAAAACTGAAGGTCCTGGAATCTTCTCGATCATCAGTAGAAAGCTTTAATTGGCCAAAATTAACCCGCTGAATCAAACTCTTGTAAGCACTTTAAAATGGATAGCTACATGTACAGAGGGACAAATACTTACTTAAAACTCACCCCACCTAAATAGCCTCTTCTTTTATGCTTAGATGAGAGATAAACTTCCCTTGTTTTCGAACTCATTTTGTACTTGCCCTTAGTAAAAACCTCACACTCTTACAGTTACTTCGCGGCTCTCCGACCGGGTTTCACAGGCCCGAGACCGCGTGTCACAAAAAAACCGTTTTAAAAACCAAATCAATTGTAATGCGAAACAACAAATAACGTATTCAGAAAAGTACATAATTGTACTCATTTTAAGTGGTGATCCACTCAGTTTGACCGTAAATGTAATATTTTGGAGAATTTTCATTATTTTCAATATTTTGAACGTTTTTGTTAGATGAAAAAATGGCAAATTTCAAAGCCTAAAATCGTCGACTGGTACGTCGATTTCAGGAAAGAGTCTTATATCACGCTAAAGAGCGTTATCTCGTCTTTCAAAATCTTTTTTTCAAAACTATGGGCAACTTAAAAGAACATTTTTGAGGCCAAAAAAATACGAGTAGTACTTTTCTGAAATTTGAGCTTTCCATACTGGGCGGGCCGATGCTAAAAACTTGGAAAAATACAGCGATCTGATATAAATTAAAGCCGTTTTCTATCAAGAAAGGCAGATTTAAGCTGTCAACTCCTGCCAAGTGTACCAGTAACGTGAAGTTGTCAAAGGGAGGCTAAAGCACTAATATTAAAAAGTCTTAAAATTCAAAACGTTTTACGTCTATGAAATCAGATTTTAGCGTACAAAACAATGTTGTGAATGTCTGTTGTTCGTGCCTTAGCATGGATAATAGAAAGACTGGATAGGAAACTGGCTGACGTGATCGGTTCCAACGTAGTGGAAAAATGTGACGTCACATTATCGAGAGCCATTCAACCTCTTACATCCGATGTTTTTCGCGTCTTTAATTAATCCTCGCATATTGCCCAGATTGCCCATGTTTTGAAGTAAAGGATGAAGAGTACTTGTTCTTGGCGAAGACAGTTAGAGGGTACAAAAGCGGTAGAGGCAAAAGACTGAATAAATGATAATGAAACTTGTGAGAGCGAAGAATGACTCCAGCGCCCGATAATTTTATGCACCAAACGAGAAGCCTAACTATATAAAAACTATGCGAAAACTTACATGTATACAGCTACAAAGCACCTATAAAAAAGGCACAGCCTAATTTTCTACAAACAACAAGAAAACAGGGAAGAATTTTAATTATTTTTGTCACGGTTTTGACGATTTCCTTTCTGCTTTTATACAAGCTCAGCGAGTGTCGAATTTTACAAGTTAACAACTGACTCTTGACAAAATGATTTTTTCAGCGGTAAAACTGTCGAGGCTTGATGTTTCAAGTACCCAGCTCAAACGAGGGTCTAATTTTCCATTCAAATTTATCTACGGACTATCAGTGACAAGAAACCGTAGTTGTGTATAAAACATGATAACAAGCGGGGATAAAAAGCTCAGCAGAAGCTTGCGGACCACCCTGGAAACGCTGTTTCTAACTTTCTCAAATCAATTTTCATAGTAAAGCAGCAAGTTCTTTTGTTATTTTCAGGTATAAATGTACCTCCATTACCAAAGGTAATTTTCAGTCAGTTCTTTGAATTCAAACTGCAACGCTTTTAAAAATGTTATGTAAAACGGTTAATTGTTAACTACTAGAATACAGCTGGGAAGCAAACTCATGATTAATAGTAGGCCCTTCACTTCTTTTTCATGAGGAACACTTGTCTTCCACTGATAAGGCTTATAAAGCTTAGAAATATATTTATTCTTTGAAATGCTGACCTCTTTTTAGGATGAAACAACCTTTAAGTTTTTGTATCGTAGTCTTAATGATATAGAAATCACCTCTGAAAATAAAACATTAACACTGTTTCCAAAGAAAATAGAAGCTGATTATTAAAAATAAATAAATACAAAAAAGTAACATCCAGGATTTTTGTTTAGCCTGAGGTAAGTGGATAAGGGCTTGAAAAAACATGACTGTCTGGTCACATTATTATGTTGTTGAAAACAAAATTCATACCTCAAACAAGTACAGGTATATGTTTTATTAATTTGATTTAGAATACATCTTGGTAAGGTTCATCATCTACAGGTACATTGTTGCTTTGGATCTCTAAAAGAACCGAGTACAACAATAGTGCTAATCAAGTCCACCTTTGGTTTAAAAAACAATGTGATTCAGATTTAGACCGCGTCAGAGAAAAACACTAACCAAATCTAAAACACATTACTCTGTAGCTAATACATGCAGTGACCCTCGCACACAATTAATTTGTCCCAGTCAGAAAGGAGTAGCTAACACTCTTCAGATGTGATGAATAAAGCTTAAAGCACCTTCTGATCAGAAATAAATTATATGCCACCTTCTGGCTCTCATGCATGACAAAAGTAACTTTTGTTGCTGTTTTATACAGAAAGATTGATTGATTTGTGCCCTCTCAGAAGAGTACTTGGCCCTGCTTGACCACAATTTACTGTCTTCATTGACTGAATGTGTTCAGCAAATCCTACAAAAAAGACAAACACAAGGAAAACTAAAACACTGTTTACAAAATAACAACAACACTTAGGAGCCTAAACGGAGGCCGAAAAATGTTAGTGGGTGTAGTTTATGTTTATGTAGTTTATGTACACAAAAAATATTCGAGTCTCTTCAGTGCCTTCGAATACAAGCTGCGAGGAGCGACGTGAGGCGATTGTATTAACTGGATATGTAATTTAGAAGTTATATTTCAACATTAAAAGATGAGCGAAATTAACATACTGCTTTACGAACAATTAGTAGGGTTAATCTAGGACATAACGTGAGCGAAGCAGTTCTCAACACAAACAAGTCTGCCGATTGGAACATTGCACACCGTGTGCGTACAATTTTTCGGCGCTAGCTCCGAATGTAGTTAATTTCGGTCATTTTCAATCGAAATGTACCGCTGGAAAATAACAGCACTCAGTTTGTAACTATGCCTATGCCACAATTCCATCCTTAAAACATCTGTCAATCGTAGTTATGAATAGAAACAAGAAGGAACCGCCTAAATAAAGGCGTCCCAAAATA